TGAAAAAAGTAAGAAACATATTCTGTACCTATTGTTTAGTACCTAATTTACTATGAAAACTGTTCATTATGTATGTTAGTCAGAGAACTCTTTCCCAGAAGACATTTTGACATGCCACAGTTGGAAAAAGTTAAAGTCAATTTGAATGACAGCTGGCATACAGTACTTGCACTTTGCAGCCGTCCCTGGCTTCTAGTCTCGTCAGTTAGCTTTTAAAGCTGAATGACAAGATGGGAAATGTACATCTGCTTGGGACAGGACTCTGCTTTGTCCATGACTAGAAATGGTTCCCCTGAAGCGCCCGAGTCAGCAGGACTGATCCCTATGGATAGTGTGTAAACAGTATTGACATTGCAATCTTTTAGGTCACTGTGAGTGCGTCTCTTCATAGACTTGAGTAAGTGTCCTGCATATGCATAGTTTACTTGATCAAAAATGATACAACCTAAAACTGTATTCATCTGCAAATGTGGTTGAGTGTGTTTCAGAGCACATTCCCTGTCACCTCTCTCAGGTGAATATTCGGTGAGTACCTCTTTGACGACTGGTTCAGCGTGTGCGAGCAGCAGTCGGGTGGACTGAGCTCCATGTCAATGGTGTAGCTGAGCAGAGCTAAGCAGCCACGGGCTTCAGGACTCTGTGGCCTCTCGGAGAAAGCGTGGCCTGTCAAACCAGTGGAATGCCGACATGGCTGTCATCAGGTCCACTGAGCTGTCAGCAAACGCAGCTCCTCAGCCACCACACTGTCTTGAGAAGGAACAAATCAAACTTCTGACTTCTGATCAGGTGAAAAGAAATTTGGACCATCTGACGTTTTACAACTTAAACATAAGCATACAACATGCGTGGTGGTGATGCAGAACTCCTGACAGTTGCACTCTTCAGTTTTAGCGTACCTCTAGTCACCAGTTCACTGATTTGAACTTTGCCTGTTGCTTGCTGCCTCTATTGCCATCATGCTCTGCACAAAAGATTAACCACTTCCACATAGAAAAAGGAATGTCAGGCACCACATAAATTCCCAGCAACAAAAGGTTGTGAGTATTAATATTAAAATGATTAATAACGTGATAATTGCCATGAATTCTTATAAATAAATTACACACCAAAAATTACTGAGTCACAATTCACCAGATTTGGGTCAATGTAAGAACCAATGCTGGGTAGAGACAACCCATTGAGACTGGGTAAAGTTAATGCAGTTTTGTGTCTGAGTTGTATTATATGCACAGACACATGCCTGCTATATTATATGTTATAATTCATGTAATTATTTGTATTTTACATATGATATAGCAAAATAATAAATCAATCAAACTATCCTGTTGACTGTGTTTGTTCAGTAATGTGGGCCTCACAATACGACCAACTCTCACCAGACAAGGGTCACATTGTTCCCACTTTGGCCAAGATTCAACAAAGTAGCTTACCAGATTCTCAGACTGGGATTTTACTTATAATATTTGGGGGTTTTTTATGAAAAAATAAATTAATAAAAAAAAATGTGCTTTCAATTTTTGCACAAGAAAGTAGCTTTCAGAAAGAATCCAATATGCCATTCATATTTTATGTTTGTGTCTTTTGTAAAATCTTCAGAATTAAAAAACAAAACATAATCCATACTTACTTATATGTGATGTTTGGCTCTTTAACATGCTGCAACGCCACTTCCAGCTGGGCAGGACTCACGTCTGTCCCCACCACAGAGGCAAAGTGTTTGGCCAGCAGCAAAGTGCCCTGTCCTGAGCCACAACCCACATCCACCGCCAGCTCAAAGGGACGACCTTTCTGAAAAAACATTTCAAATATTATGTTTGACAATCCTGTAAAATTATCACATCATCCAATGACAATGAGACCCAAAAGTGAATTTCAACATCTGGTAATAAATCCTTTTTTTTTTCAGTTAATAACACAGAGGTCACCATCTTTCTCTCCCTGCACTTACCTGTTTTTCCAGGAAGTCCAGCACCTGTTGTATCAGATGATCTGATGGAGAGATCCTGTACTTCCAGTAGGAAGCAGCGTGCTCCTTGCCTTCAAACAGACGGTTAAGCCATTGCTAGCTAATGCCTCTCCAAACAGATCTATCAGAAGTTTCATAAAGAGATTACAGAAATCTATCCTCTTACGTTGTTCTACTAGATAAGAGGAACAAACATCCACATTGAAAGGACTGTGTATTCTCTCTGTCAGCAGTAAGATAAACACACATACACACACACACACACACACACACACACACACACACACAACCACAAAAGAGGGGAACAGTGGGTGCCTGGGAACTGGAGGTCCCATTACTTCCACTGGTACGTGGTGTGTTTGACAATAAGGGTGTTTAAAGGGACAGCTCCAGAACTAATTTCTTACATGATGTGTCATGTCTGTTTTTACCTTTTCCTTTTTCTATTCTCTGTGCAACCTTTTTATGTACAATATTGCTAAGGAACTCAATGTAATCCAAAATAATTATAATAAATGGAAATCCAGGTCAAGCTCAAAGGTCCGTGAGCACGGGTCAGCTTATGGGTCAGGTGATGGTATGTGTTTCTGTCAGAACCAATGAAACCCCTGGGGATGATGTGGGTGAGGTAACAGTGGTACGTGTACAATTGTAGTATTGTTAAAACATCATGTGTTTAACGCTCCTGTGTCTGAATCTGTCGCTGGTTTTCTCATATTTCATAATATCGTGGTACTCTTTAACTAAGGGCTGTTTGTTATTCATTGTCACTGTTACTGTAGAAATGTGACACGTCATGAGAAACCTCTATGTGTGCTGCTCAGCAGAACTGAATTCAGTCTGTTCCCTGGTGTAAAAGGCAGTAGACACAAAGATATATCAACACTGGCTTCACTGGTCAGCTGTATGAATATAAGCTGTCACACGCTCTGATCCCAAATCTTCACACTGAAGGATTAGTCAGTTCTTATCACTTTAAAAAAGCTTTCCAAACACATTCTTGATCAAAATCAAATCAAGCCCAAACCACTTTGGATTATAACTATCAATACATCACATATGCAAATTTTTCCCTATTGCAAGTTAACCTACTTAAAGCGTGACTGTGTAACTTTTGCTAAACAGTGGAAACAAGTGGTAGTTGCAGGATAACGGCGCAGGATTGTTTTGTGTCAGTTACTTTAAAAGACATCATCAGGAGGTGACCTGAATGTGAGTGTCAACGGCAAAAAAGGAAACAAACACAAATCTCCTGATGCTGTGTTAGATACTCCCTTTACTTTTGTGATTAAAAAAAACATTGAACTGTTTGCCTGTAACATGCTAAAATGTAGTTTAACAGTACAGGACAAGTAGGAAAAGAGATCACTGTTATCAGATAGAAAGAAGAGATAGGATTTTCCTTTTCCTGCACTTAAATGAATTAGTAATAACAGAATGTTGTGCGATAAAATCAGCTCTTGCTAGTTGCTGTTGACAATCTTTAGATAGATATTGCTCTGTAAGTGACAGTGATCTCTTTCCTACTTGTCCTGTACTGTTAAACTACATTTTAGCATGTTACAGGCAAACAGTTCAATGTTTTTTTTAATCACAAAAGTAAAGGGAGTATCTAACACAGCATCAGGAGATTTGTGTTGTTTCCTTTTTGCCGTTGCACTCACATTCAGGTCACCTCCTGATGATGTCTTTTAAAGTAACTGACACAAAACAATCCTGCGCCGTTATCCTGCAACTACCACTTGTTTCCACTGTTTAGCAAAAGTTACACAGTCACGCTTTAAGTAGGTTAACTTGCAATAGGGAAAAATTTGCATATGTGATGTATTGATAGTTATAATCCAAAGTGGTTTGGGCTTGATTTGATTTTGATCAAGAATGTGTTTGGAAAGCTTTTTTAAAGTGATAAGAACTGACTAATCCTTCAGTGTGAAGATTTGGGATCAGAGCGTGTGACAGCTTATATTCATACAGCTGACCAGTGAAGCCAGTGTTGATATATCTTTGTGTCTACTGCCTTTTACACCAGGGAACAGACTGAATTCAGTTCTGCTGAGCAGCACACATAGAGGTTTCTCATGACGTGTCACATTTCTACAGTAACAGTGACAATGAATAACAAACAGCCCTTAGTTAAAGAGTACCACGATATTATGAAATATGAGAAAACCAGCCGACAGATTCAGACACAGGAGCGTTAAACACATGATGTTTTAACAATACTACAATTGTACACGTACCACTGTTACCTCACCCACATCATCCCCAGGGGGTTTCATTGGTTCTGACAGAAACACATACCATCACCTGACCCATAAGCTGACCCGTGCTCACGGACCTTTGAGCTTGACCTGGATTTCCATTTATTATAATTATTTTGGATTACATTGAGTTCCTTAGCAATATTGTACATAAAAGAAGGTTGCACAGAGAATAGAAAAAGGAAAAGGTAAAAACAGACATGACACATCATGTAAGAAATTAGTTCTGGAGCTGTCCCTTTAAACACCCTTATTGTCAAACACACCACGTACCAGTGGAAGTAATGGGACCTCCCAGTTCCCAGGCACCCCACTGTTCCCCTCTTTTGTGTGTGTGTGTGTGTGTGTGTGTGTGTGTGTGTGTGTGTGTATGTGTGTTTATCTTACTGCTGACAGAGAGAATACACAGTCCTTTCAATGTGGATGTTTGTTCCTCTTATCTAGTAGAACACGTAAGAGGATAGATTTCTGTAATCTCTTTATGAAACTTCTGATAGATCTGTTTGGAGAGGCATTAGCTAGCAATGGCTTACCGTCTGTTTGAAGGCAAGGAGCACGCTGCTTCCTACTGGAAGTACAGGATCTCTCCATCAGATCATCTGATACAACAGGTGCTGGACTTCCTGGAAAAACAGGTAAGTGCAGGGAGAGAAAGGATGGTGACCTCTGTGTTATTAACTGAAAAAAAAAAGGATTTATTACCAGATGTTGAAATTCACTTTTGGGTCTCATTGTCATTGGATGATGTGATAATTTTACAGGATTGTCAAACATAATATTTGAAATGTTTTTTCAGAAAGGTCGTCCCTTTGAGCTGGCGGTGGATGTGGGTTGTGGCTCAGGACAGGGCACTTTGCTGCTGGCCAAACACTTTGCCTCTGTGGTGGGGACAGACGTGAGTCCTGCCCAGCTGGAAGTGGCGTTGCAGCATGTTAAAGAGCCAAACATCACATATAAGTAAGTATGGATTATGTTTTGTTTTTTAATTCTGAAGATTTTACAAAAGACACAAACATAAAATATGAATGGCATATTGGATTCTTTCTGAAAGCTACTTTCTTGTGCAAAAATTGAAAGCACATTTTTTTTTATTAATTTATTTTTTCATAAAAAAACCCCCAAATATTATAAGTACAATCCCAGCTCTGAGAATCTGGTAAGCTACTTTGTTGAATCTTGGCCAAAGTGGGAACAATGTGACCCTTGTCTGGTGAGAGTTGGTCGTATTGTGAGGCCCACATTACTGAACAAACACAGTCAACAGGATAGTTTGATGCTTATTATTTTGCTATATCATATGTAAAATACAAATAATTACAGAATTATAACATATAATATAGCAGGCATGTGTCTGTGCATATAATACAACTCAGACACAAAACTGCATTAACTTTACCCAGTCTCAATGGGTTGTCTCTACCCAGCATTGGTTCTACATTGACCCAAATCTGGTGAATTGTGACTCAGTAATTTTTGGTGTGTAATTTATTTATAAGAATTCATGGCAATTTATCACGTTATTAATCATTTTAATATTAATACTCACAACCTTTTGTTGCTGGGAATTTATGTGGTGCCTGACATTCCTTTTTCTATGTGGAGTGGTTAATCTTTTGTGCAGAGCATGATGGGAATAGAGGCAGCAAGCAACAGGCAAAGTTCAAATCAGTGAACTGTGACCTAGAGGGTACGCTAAAACTGAAGAGTGCAACTGTCAGGAGTTCTGCATCACCACCACGCATGTTGTATGCTTATGTTTAAGTTGTAAAACGTCAGATGGTCCAAATTTCTTTTCACCTGATCAGAAGTCAGAAGTTTGATTTGTTCCTTCTCAAGACAGTGTGTGGCTGAGGAGCTGCCGTTTGCTGACAGCTCAGTGGACCTGATGACAGCCATGTCGGCATTCCACTGGTTTGACAGGCCACGCTTTCTCCGAGAGGCCCACAGAGTCCTGAAGCCCCGTGGCTGCTTAGCTCTGCTCAGCTACACCATTGACATGGAGCTCAGTCACCCCGACTGCTGCTCGCACACGCTGAACCAAGTCTGCAAAGAGGTACTCACCGAATATTCACCTGAGAGAGGTGACAGGGAATGTGCTCTGAAACACACTCAACCACATTTGCAGATGAATACAGTTTTAGGTTGTATCATTTTTGATCAAGTAAACTATGCATATGCAGGACACTTACTCAAGTCTATGAAGAGACGCACTCACAGTGACCTAAAAGATTGCAATGTCAATACTGTTTACACACTATCCATAGGGATCAGTCCTGCTGACTCGGGCGCTTCAGGGGAACCATTTCTAGTCATGGACAAAGCAGAGTCCTGTCCCAAGCAGATGTACATTTCCCATCTTGTCATTCAGCTTTAAAAGCTAACTGACGAGACTAGAAGCCAGGGACGGCTGCAAGTGCAAGTACTGTATGCCAGCTGTCATTCAAATTGACTTTAACTTTTTCCCACTGTGGCATGTCAAAATGTCTTCTGGGAAAGAGTTCTCTGACTAACATACATAATGAACAGTTTTCATAGTAAATTAGGTACTAAACAATAGGTAAAGAATATGTTCTTATCTTTTTCACACTGAGGAAAATAACAGTAAATTTGTTATAAAAGTTGAAAACCAAAGAAAATTTAAAAAAAATCAACTTACAAATGAATTACAAATGACAGCAGTCTCCCTTCAAAATCAGACAGGCATTTCTGAGACGAAGATATATTCCCACGTGCACCTCTCTCCTCGTGGCCTGAGGTGGAGTGTACAAGAGTATCAGCATCATCCATCTGGTCCATTCACTTAAAGGCAGACTCTCTGTTCAGTTCTGCAGGCGTAGGGGACATATATCCTCCTCCTACTCATCATCATCATCATCATCATAATCACCATCATTATCATCATCATCATCATCATCATCATCATCATCATCATCATCATCATCATCCTCACATGGACCGTAGTGGATTCCCTGTCTAGAATGAGTCATGACCTTGAATCAAAATGAACATCACCACCATCTAGTGGATGCTGGATGGACATACCTTAACTGAGTGCATAGTACAGTTCACTCACTGTAGGTTGCATATATTTTTCAGCCAGATTTTGTGAGTAAAAATGTACCATTAAAGTGTTAAAGACTACATCTCTGAATACACCGTACCAACACACAGCTACATGTTAAAACGTCTTTAAAAGTAACTGAATAAAAACGAATGCATCACTGAGTAAAACATATCTGGTTCATGTTATAAATCATGCCACAAATGAGTTGATGGAAAGAACAATCTAATGACTCCCCTTCTTATGGTTTGATCAGTTTTACGCAGCCTTACAACCATACCGCAGTCCTCATCTGGGTCCCAGCTCCATTGAGTTATACCGGGAGGCATGTGAATCCCTCCCTTACCCTGACAAGGAGTGGTGAGTGACAGCATGTTTTTGTTTGGTAGATTATCTTTTTTTTTTTTTTCTTCTAAATTTGTGATATGCAAATGCATTTTTATGTTAAGGTATTTTATTAATACCTCATAAACTCACAGATTTCTCTCATACTTGGAAACCCAGTGCTTTCCATTTGGTCTGTGCACAATGTGGTCAAATCAAAGACACAAGTCTCTGCAGATTAAAGACTTGAGAAATGACTGAAATATCAAATAAGTCACAAGTTTGGACACACTTTCCAATTCACTAAGTGTGTCCAAAATTTTGACTGGTACTGTATTTGTCTTTTCTTTTTGTCCAGTTTAGGAAAAACTCATTAGCGTGTTTGATTTGTATGTGTGTGTTTTTATGTAGGCAAGAGTGTGTGTGGGTGAGAAGGCCCATGCCTCTGTCCAGCTACATGGGGTTGGTGGAGTCTTTCTCCAGTTATCAGGCTCTGCTGAGAGATGACCCACAGAAAGCCACCGATCTCTCCCAGGACACCTGTCAAAGGTAAATGCCTTTTATGTACAGCACAGGATACACACATATGCACATCACACCATGTAACAAAGTTGTGTAAAAATGATTATAAGCATAGCAATTTGATCATTTGTATGAGTAGTAAATACACATTTACATATGAAAAGCAAGCCTATTCACCTATGTGCTGCAAACACGTGATGAAACAATGAATCCTTAAAACGGACATGTTGGAGAGGTAAAGTGTGTAACAGCAAGGCAGCATGTTGTCACAGACTCTCTGTCTCCCATGCTCGTCTCTCCAGGTTGATGACCATAATGAAGGTGACCTCGGCAGAGACAGAGGTGGTGGTGGCTGTGAAGTATTTCTACCTGCTGGCCTGCAAACCAGAGGAAGCCTGACTCTTGCCAGCACCCACAGGAACCTGAAACCCCGTGTTTTGCCTACAAATGCCATTTATGTAAAACGAATAGCTCGACATTTTGGTGCTGGAAAGTTGTACATGGAGGATGATGAACTGTTTCTTTAACAAAAGATATGCAAAGGTATTGGTTCACTCTCCAATATCTTTATCTCGCAGTCATCCTCTTTTCATGGCGCTGACACTGTGCAGATTCACAGTATATGTTTGTATTATATGACTGTGATTTGTGATTTGTTGAAGTACACAGGATATCTTTGTGTGAAGCTAAGGTGAATGTAGTACCACACTTGAACATTGTAAATGATATCTTCTGTGTAATTGTTTTTTTTTTTTTTTTTTTCAAATGACTGAATGTCTTACCCACTGTGGGCAAGGTGAACAAGTGCAGTATTTGCAAGGATTGTTTTATAAAATACCACTAGAGGGAAGCATTTGATCAAAAGTCAAAGTCTGCATATGTTCTTTATGTGACATCTATGTTGCGTGGGATCATATTCACTGACACATGCAATATAATATTCATCATATGTAGACTGGATGATGATGCCATACTGTATATAATTTTTTTTCTATGCAAGACTCCCACTTTCTAAAATTATGCTGCAGAGTCTTTGAAGGGAAGCACGAGTCCTTTGTGTTGGTGTCAGAGCTGAGACAGCTCTTTCTTCTTCCTGCTCCAAAGACAAGCCGGGCAGAGAATGTGACTCGTCATCATCCTGAGACATCTCCAGACTTTCTTTTCGGGTTTGAAGCTGAGTTCTTTGATAGTCAGTCTTAGATTTCATTTCTTTGGATTGTCCTTCTGATTCCTCTGATCTTTTTCATTTTCGCACTTCTAAGGCAACATTTACACCAGAGGTCACAGTGTTCACCTGTATCTACTCTTTATCTCCTGGTTATAGCTACTTTTAAAAGTGTTTTGTGCTCTTTTGAAGAAGTACGAGTGAGGTACAGTATACATAAGTCTAACCCACGAGCACAGACAAATCCCCATCATCAGTGACACACAGGTTCAGGTTGGTATAAGCTGAAAAGTCAGCTGCCTGTAGCTCTGTAACCTGGCGGGGGGCCAGTACCACTAACCCCACTCTCTGTTTGCTGGAAGACACTATACAGTGGAAAACATGAAGTCACTCTCCAAATAACTTTCAATGACCTCCAATGATCTCTGTACGAAGAGCAAATTTGCAATGGATGACTCATGTCTCCTATCGGATTTATTTCCACTGATGACACTGGCCCAAATATGAAATAAGTATCTGAAAATATCAGATACCATGTGCTTTTTTTTCCTGGTTACATTATTATAGATGTGTACCACATGAGAGAGCAAAGAACTGAATTACATCTCTTTTACTAAGAGGTGTAAACGAAACCCAGGCTTTATAATTGCTCTGAATGCCTGCATATTAAAGCCCTCAGAATCTTTGTTTTAAAAGCATATCGCAGCATTTCTTGCTTGCTGACAACTTTGTAGTGAGACTATTTCACATTTCATTTGCTGCCATTTTTTTTTTCCTTTTTCAGAAACCCATCTCTATCAATAACTTTATTATAATTATGTCATTTTAGCACCTATACTCAATATTTGTATAATAACAATGTATGAAATGACATAAAATGTTAGAACAGTGTGACAATAAATATGAAAAAGGTCGGTTGTATCACATTTAAACCGTGTTTGGCCAAATGATTCTCTACAGAGTTTGTAGTTGTAGTTGTTTTAACACATAGTGCCCAAACTAAAATTAATTGGACACTTGGCCACATAATGTTTATGTTGTCTGTGGCTCAGAGTTGAAAGTTACCATTTCGATTGAGGTAGAGTTGTCTCCAAATATGAGGAGTAAAGAATTGACTGTGCATAATAATGAATCTCAAAAATCTCAAAGGTAGCGGGTTTGCCAAAATCAATAGTTGGCTATGCTCAGCTGCGATCAGAAAAACTAGAAAATGTCAAATGATCTCATAGACAGAGGGGCACAAGTCTTGTGGATGAATGGAAAATCATTTGCATGGTGAAGAAAAACCCATTTATGACTGAACAGCAAGTCAAGAATGCCAGTCAATGGACTTGGCACTCTGGCATTTAATGACGATTTCAGATGCAACAGGGTGAATGCAGAGATATACAGGAGCATTGTGTGTTCGTTCTGTGGAGAACCATCCTAAACATACAACCAAAGCAACTTTGGCTGTACCTCTTCAACCTGAACTCTTCGTTTAATGATGATTCATTGCGAATGAGAAGGGAAGCTGAAAGCAACAGCTCCAAGCTCCTTTAGGATACTATGACCTGGACAAATGAGAATATGCACAGGCTGACTCCAAGTTTTCGCTTGAAAAAAAAAAAACAAAAAACATTGGCACCGTCTGATGCAAATCTGAGCCTTTCTTTTCTGTCTGTTGCTGCAGCTGTAGCTTTGAGCTTCATCTTCAGGTTACATCTCCCGCAAACATGGTGCTATTGTCTGATGATTATTGATGGAAAACATTAGCTTTCCATCCTGTGACACCAGATCTCTCCTCTTAAAAATGTTCACAAAACTCAGTAAACACTCAGCTTCTAGTGATTTATTTTTATTGATCTGTTTTTGAAATATGTCTTGTCACAACAGGATACTCCCTATCAGTGTGTCTAATCTTTTCATCTTTATAGACTGTCGCAGACGTGCAGAAACATTTCTTTTGAAAATCAATATGGAAAATATGAATAATTCAGGAATCACACACAACCCAAATCCACCACAAAGGATTATCAAACACACTTATTTACAGCACTGTATTTGAATATACTCATATGAGTAGGACTCATTTGCGTACTCATTTGTATTAGTCACGAGAAACATCTTTCACCCTCCTACCACATTCAACTGAAGGAAGATTACATTGTTTTAACAGAAGCAGCAAGAACAGGATATTTAGGTGTGAAGTGTTTGTCTGGGGGCATGTGTACTTTGTAACAGAAGAAAATGGACAAACTCTTTACATCAGTGATGCCAAGCTCAGATAGCACCTGACACTTTGAGTGTGCTCTCTCGATTCTTTTCAAATAGTGCAGAAAGAGTTGGACCAACTTCAAACCGAGTAAGTTCTTCTATCAAACAGTGAGCTGATGTCTGGCCTGTCTGCAGCACAGATGTTTCCATCTCCTCAGTGAAAGTGGAGTGTGTAACATCGATCAGAGTATCTGCGCTACAGCTAAAAGCCCGTCCTGGTTACTGGAGACATGTTCAAAATAATTCATATTTTAACAGAATATTCCATAAGAATGTTTCATCCATGTCATATAATGTTTGCATTACATAGACTGTATATTTTAGAAATTTATGATCATATGTTTTCACAAAGTTTTATTTCTTTTTGGAGTGTAGTCCATAACAAGTTGGAAGGAAGAGCAGACATTCCTCCCATAAGTCAATGCATGAGTCACCTGGTGATATAAGCTTCTGATGAGCCTGTGACTCCTGCTGCTTGCAAACATTGCACATTACACCAACTTCCCACATGCCTGAGGACAGCGTGACAAAATATTGCTGCCAACTTTGCTTCTGTGCCCATTTATTGTAAACAGATATCTGAGCAGCATCTTGGAGATTTACACTAAATCTAATGTGAATTTGATGGAGAACGGATGTTTGGAGTCACACCGCTGTCCTGTGATGCCTCAGTAGTAACTCTATGTCTTTTTCTGACAAGACAAATGGGTGTCTGGTAGATGTTAACCTCCAGCGCTAAACTAAGAGACTTATTGTGCACATGAGTTATTCATTTTTTTTCAGTTTATTTCAAATGGACCTCAGCTCTTCTTGATTTTCTAAACACCCTCAATGGTTGTAGCAACAGCAAAGCAGCAGTAAAGCGAACGTGCAGTACAAAACAGGATTTGCATTGTTATGACATGTGCATTAGTCATGTTCTGCAGAGAAGTTTTTTCTCTTAAATTGAGTAGACACTACACACACATCTGGGTCATGTGGTCCAGCAGGGAGAGCAAAGCCCTCGATGTAAGTCTTTGTGTCTACATGATTAAGATTAGAGCCACTGGGGCTGCTGTCACTGCTGCTGCAGTCACAGTCTGATCTGAATTGACAGCCAGATGTGACTCTAATGTACTTACACTGTAATTGGTAGTCCACCTATTATTTAAGAAAATACATTTAGGAAGAGGTGAAAGATTACCATGGTATTACAAATCTTTGTGAAAGAAAAGGACCCAAATCCTTTGGTCCACATTAAAATAAAACTTTTTGCATGTCTCCAATGAATTCGGTCATCCTTTGACTTTTAATCTAAAACCATCATCAGGTCAAAAATTTGAATTTTTTCCATTACGTTATGACCAAATACCAGCAAAGCTAATGACAATCCAATCAACTTCAGCTGTACTTTGTATTGGGTGCTAATTAGCAGATGATCACCATGCTAACTCACTAAACTAACATGGTGAACATGGTAAACATTACAATCTGATATACATCACATGTTAGCGTGCTGATGATAGTATTTAGCTCAAAGCAAGGCAAAGCAAGTTTATTTGCATTGCACCTTTCACCTACAATACAGAATGCTTTACATTGGCAGAAAGGGATAAAAGAAACACACAGGCATATAAAAGACAATATAAAAAGACGAATAAATGGGATTTGAAAAGGAGCAAAACAAGATGAAAAAGAATAATAAATTCAACATTAGAAATTTTGCCACAAGCAGCAATTATCATGGTCCAAGCAGCTCATGAGCACATATGCATTAATTGCTATTGAATTAAGCTGTTGAAAAGCTGCTTTTTCAAGGACTTTATTTAAAAATGGGAGGTTTAATATTGGCCTGTAATTGTTCATTAGTGAGTCATCTAGATTATTCTTTTCTATGAGAGGTTTAAGAACTGCACTTTTCAGGGCCTGAGGGAATTACCCTGAGAAGTGTTGAGTATTTGCCAAACATCTGATGACATGCAGTTAAAGACATTTTTGAAAAAGCCGATAGGCAGAATAAAGGCAGCAGGAGGAGGATTTCAGATGTTGCACAATTTCCTCCAAGGTCATATGGTTGATAGGATCAGTCTGGGTCATACTACTTAAACTGGATGCAAGGACAATACAGACCTTATATCTGATACGGCTTTTCTAATTTCCTGAATTTTATCAGTAGAAGAATGAGGCAAATTCATTCCATGACTTAGTAGAATAAAGCTGGGAGGTTGCTGACACAGAAGGCTTTGTCAGCCTGTCAACCATAGCAAATAATGCCTGTACATTAGTATTGGTTTTGGCAATGATGTCAGAGAAGAATGACCTTGTATTTCTCAATTCTAGATCAAGAATAGAAAGTCTCTTTATAGATGGGTATTCACTTTTACATTTTTAGTGTGGCATTTCTCAATGGTCCTTTTTTTTTGAGTGAGTGTAATGATATTGAAAAGATTCAGATTTTAGAAATGAAATTAGCTACAAGATCATTGACTAAGACCAAAACAAGGTTATTTAGGCCAAGAGAAGGAAATTCAATTTAAGAGCAACATGTAAAAAAAAAAAAGAAACAAATTTTCCAAAAGCCGTCCGTTTTGTTATTTGCAGCATTAGCCAGTGCTTTCGGTTTATCAGCGAATCCCAGACAGGCTGTGGCAAGAGGAGGAGAGAGTGAGGGGAGGAGAGGTTAGGAGGCTGTTCCATGAGCTGGTTATCAACAACCCTGGCACTGAGGCTGGCGGAAGCCGCTGTGTTTCATGGTGCATCATCTTAGGCCTGGCCAACCAAAAATGGCCCATCAGCACTTTCATTCCAGATCTGCTTGGGTGGAGGCCATCTGCCCTGAAAGGATGCCTGCGCCCCCAGACTGGTGACAGCGATCATCTAATAAAAAAACTGGCCTTCCAGTTTTCACAGACAGTTAAACAGTTTAATTAAACTACTTCTGACTGCTCTATGCAAACATAATTAGCCCACACATGTAGATTAAGTCTCCTTATTTCTCTTTTAAAAACCACAGCATTTGGGAAGCGGTATGTTTTTATAGTGTCTTCCTGCTTATGTTTCTGATAACGACATCTCCCACAACCAGTTACAGGTTAAATCATCCCTTTTCAGTTTTTCTGAAAGACAGTTTTCTACCCCTTTGCTCCACATGAGACATCAACAGTCCTCTCCACTTTTGTCTCACTCAGATGTATTAATGGTTCAAACCTGTTTTCCAGTTGTAATGTCAGGGTTGGCTGCAGCCTGTGTTTATACCCCCTTTGGCTATCCGCCAGATGTCCGGTGAAGTTGCCTGAGCTGAATCTGAATTTTTTTTTTTCCTCAAAGGAAGCTAAAAGCAACACAGCGTTAAAGCACAGCCTCGCAAAGCTGCTGGCATGGCTGTAGACCCTTTAGTATTGTTTAAAGGAGCTATTTGTAAGTTTTTCTTATGCTACATAGCCATCTTTAGCATTAACAGCTACCAGTCTGGAAGAAACAGAGAAAACTTACAAATAGCCCCTTTAAATAATGTACTTTACTGCCTGGAGAATCATCATTAGGTTGTTAGCAATAAAGTAAATGTGTTATTTCCAAACAAGTGATGAAAAAGACTTTTCAGCTGATATGCATGTGTTTCAACCTCTAGAGCAAAAAGGAAGAATGTCAGAAAAACATGCAGGAGGACACTATCTTGTTTTTTTTATTCATGTCAATAAGTTGTTATAATGAATGTGCCTCAGAGGAGAGAGGTGAGTTCACAGAATAGCATATGCATTGTCAGAAGTGTTCACAAAACAGCTTCAAGATGACTTCGTCCCCCAGTGAAATAAGCAGAGTGACTGAATCCCAGTCATGGAAGGGAGAGGAAGATGACAGTGGGTAGACAGGTTTAAAGCTTCCAAGACAGCCCAGACTCTGGATTGTACATAACATAGCAGCAGGAGACAGACCCTAATATTTTTGTATCCAGCACACAGACAGCAGATGTTTTTAGACTTTAGCTGAATGTTTTCCAAGTCACTGTTAGGCTGCACATATCAAAGTTGACAGAAGCTAATTAAACATTTCTTTTTTTTTGTAAGGTTTCTGAAAAGATAAACATAAGTCTGAAATTCCTTGAGGTGCAACTTCTGTCTGTCCCTTTTGGGTAGGTAAGCTAAACAAACTTTTTTTTTTAATCCCTTCCCTCGATGCTGTTGTTGAGCCTGAAGACCCAGAAGTGACAGAAATATTTTATTTCAAAGTGAATGTCTTCATATTCAGTACTGGATTTTCTCTTTTATGAGTCATTTCAGTTGAAGATGGAAAGTTTTATTTGTTGACTTCTTTTTCAGTATGTTCACAAAATTGTCCTCCCAGTCTTGAATTCTTGATCCCATCTGGATTTCTGACCTACTGTTCTTTATCTCTTCCTTTCAACAAGAATCAGTTCATGCTGATGTTTATCTTTTCATTGTTTGGATCTTATTCTACAAAATATTTTTCAATCTTCAGATGATCAAATTTTAGTTAAGAGTTTATTCAGGTGTTCTCTTCCATTTTGTTACAACTCTACAAGCACTCAACTAAATACAGATGTACATTTTGTCCTCACTTGACATCTACTGAAAAAAAAGCAATGTGTGAAGCACACCATGTGAAGAGGAGCGAATGAACAGAACATTGTCACGGGGGCACATCCTTTGGCGTGTGAGCATCACTGAAAGCCTGATGGCCAACACCTGTCTAAACAGATGTAGATGAAAAACAATATAATAACCCGCTCCAAGATTAATACTCTCCTCTTTTTTTAAAACCTTCATCTAACTGGGCAGGTCAATCAAGAGCAAGTTTTTGTTTACAGTGACAGCCCTTGTGCCCCATGGTCCATAACAACTGGCTGAGTGAATCACAGTTTAGTCCAAATACTTCAGGGTGAATTGGGTTCGCTCCAAGAAGTGAGTGAGCTATTTTGTCAAACAGTGAGTCTCGGATTTCTGTTTTGCAGATGGTGCCCTTTTCAAGTGTGTGTGTGTTTGTGTGTGTGTGTGTGTGTGTGTGTGTGTGTGTGTGTGTGTGTATATTTCTTCCTGAGCATTATATTATTATTATTATTATTGTTATTATTATTATATTATTGTTTATTTTATTTCATTTAACTTTTTTAAACAGAACTGAAACTGATGGTGAATCTTGGAAGGCTAAATGAATAAATGAATGAATGAATACATATATAAGCCTGGAAAATTAAAGGAAGTGACTAGGAACAGAAGAGCACAAATACTGTTCTGAATGTTCTCTCATCTCATATGACTTAGGGGAATGGAAGAATGTTTTCTGAGCTTGCTTACTAATTAAGTATCAGTGAGGGTTTTTCGACGTGTAAGTCACAGTAAGTCACAGTTGGTAATAACTGAAAATAAAAAACATTAAAAGTTAAATTAATGTATACTAGAAAACGAAAATGAAACATATATACCCATAAAAAGCACTTGACTGTAATGTTAAGTTCAACATGCTAGACCTAGGCGGAATTCGGGTACTACTCTGAGGAACTGTTTATCCGCTACCATGTCTACACGGACAACAATAACCAACGGCATTCGCTGCACTTCCGTTGCCCATGACGCCGGAGCGAAGTTCTGACAGCTGATTCTCCAGTCAGTTTAAATCCATTCTGAGCCTCCAAACCCTCTGTTTTTGAAGTGATTCGCAGTCGTACGTGCCTGCTACAGTCTCCGGTTGGAGTTGCAGACGACGCCTTGAACAGAGGAGGGCAGGTTGATTATGGTGTAGCACGGAGCGCTAGCTCTTAAGACAGCAGGTAAAAACACAACGCTCAGAGAACACTCGAGCTAGCACTGGCTAGAACAGAGACTTTATAAATAACTTAGACCCGTCATTTCACCCTTCAAAACAGTGACATTTCGTCGTACGCTCATCCAAATGTCCGAGGAATAAACACTGAGCTGAGACTGGTTTTAAGCTTGGACATTGTGTCTAGCTAGCTGTGATTAGCGGTGTTAGCGGTTTGTTATTACGGGGAGTTCACGAGCCGACTAGTGCAGTGACTAGGCTCTAACTCATAAAAGTATATACATTAGCATTAATCCTACGTCCGTGTAACTCGCTTTCAATACCACAAGACGTCTTGCCGTGTGGGTTACGCACTTGCTTGTGTTTTTGTGAGTTAGTTTTAATCAGTGTGAGTTACAAGGGACATTTGCTGAGCAGCTGAACTTATCCCATATGTTATGGTAAATAAGCCTGATACATTGCACTGAGACTTGCGCATATGAGTTAGACCAGTTTTAGTGTTAGTGCTCATTAAGGTCGTGTGTTTATTGGTTGGGTAAGACGTTTATGATCCTGTGTGTTTGTATTTTCTCTGCCACCTCTGTTGTCTGTCTGTGCTGCACGGCCCTGTCCCTGCAGCTATTTGACAAACATTCAGGTAATCTGTGTCAGTGAGCAACGCCAGGCTGTAGTGAGTGACAGCTGAGGCAGGTGGGCGTTGAGTCAGACTGAGTGAGGCACATTTTACTGTTACCTGATACCTTCACTCTCTGCTTTTGCTGCCCCCAAAATCAGCTCACACACTTCTGGATAGACAGGATAGCCTGGGCATACAGTGCCAGTTAAGTGCTCACATGGAGACTGGTACATGACCTCTTGTTATGTTGATGTTTTTTTGTTTTTTATTGGTGTGTATGGTGTTTATTGCACATTGAGTTTACTTGTCATGAAATGTGCTATACAAATAAAAACAGTAAAAGAATGACACTGGGCTTGAGTAGAATACTAGGTGAAGCTGAACATTTTCAGAATAGCAGAAGTTACTGTGATTAGCAACACTGGATTTATTTACATTAACTGAGTGATTCAAGTAGTGTGTCTAGGTTAGATGTTGTGGTACAGATACTGGTGCATCAACCCAAGCTGGTCTGGGTGAGGTGAATATAGATGTTTTAAACAACTGAAATTCCCTGAAAGTTGCCATAGCAATAACTTATTGCCAATTGTAGAATACTGTATTTTGTTTATTTTTTGAATTTCACATCAGTTTTCCGAGGTACCCAGAAGGGTGGCTGGGAATCGCAATTCTAGACTTTTGGATAATTCATTATATAGAGAAACTGATCATTTATCTACACATTAATCCAATAAATTTTTTGCCAGAATTGGTGCCATCCTGTATTTTCTCATATCGTTGTCTAATTTTACAAATGCATATAGAATAAATGCCAAATTACCAACAATTACAAGGGCACAATGCACAAGAAACACTACTGTGACTGAACAAAAGCATATCTTCTCAGGCAGTTCACAGTTACAGGGCATTGATCCTTACTAGAAGACATGTTTACAAAGGGTGAAGGTATTAATCTCTGAATTTAACAATGTCATGCAATGGGTAATAGCTTCCTGCTGCACAAGCATTAAAAGGAAAGTTGGCAGGAGCATGACATTGAAATACTCTATTGTTTTCCTGCTACTTTGCCGTTGCAGGGAGTCTGTTGAATATTATTTAGCAAAAAAAAAAGCTACACAAACAGTGGACATGATGCTTTTCTCTGTGGGTTCCCCTCTTTCTGGCACACTCACTATTTCACATAATCAGAAGAGAGTGTGAGAGATAAGATGTTATTTTTAAAATCTTTTTGTTATGAACCTCTGTGTTATTTTGCCTACATAACTGAATAACTACTATTTAAAACCATATGTTAATGTATCGTTTTTCGTATCTGGATGTGAAGGCGATGCTTATGTGTCTCAATAGAAATTTTTAGAAACATGTTCTCCCTTTATTAACTCCTCTGATTTCTCTGAATGCAAACTTGAGTTCATGATTGAAAAGCAGATAGATAGATACTTTATTTATCCCCTTGGGGAAATTCATGTGTCCAGTAGCTCATTAGTCATAATAATAACAAAAGTTAATAATAAATAATAAACAGCAATAATTAAAAAACTCTACTTCCTTTGGCTGAGGTATTATATAGCCTGATGGCAGTAGGAACAAAAGATCAGAGCAGCGATGATCAGGATGCAGCTCTTTAGTTTTTACTGCAGATTGTTTCTCTGTGAATTGGCTTTTGTGTGATGGAAAGTTCCTCAATTTACTGCAGGTAATCTCATTAACAAGACTATAACTCTACACTTAGACTATTACACAATTTGTAACCCCACATGTCTTTTCTCAACAAGGAATCAATTGTAATCAATGTCAAGCACTTAAGTATTGCTGCTCCATAATTAGGTGTCATAGTAGTCAGTTTATTACTGTAGGAAGTGTGCCAAGGAGTAGACTTAAACCTCATCATCTCTCTGTGTCCCACCTATGAAACACTTGCCATTTCTGTCCTTTTTCATCTCTTTGTAGAGAGTGGGAGAACGGGAATATGTGTAGGCTAAATGTGAAAAGATCCACAGATCTTTCTTTTCTAGGCAGAACTGAGCTTGGGCCGGAGATATAATTTTTCTTGAAAGACTGTTTTTTTCTTTTCTTTTTTTTTTTCCATCCATCTGATCTTTATCGGCTTAATCAGTGTAGTGTCGCACTGAGCAAGTGGCAGCCTGGCACAGCCTGGAATTATTGCCAGTGTCTCGCATGGCTGAGACATAGACATATTCAACAATTCACATTCACACCTGCAACCAATTTTGATTTGCCAGTTGACCTTGTGTGAACATCTTTGGTCTGTGGGAGGAAACCGGAGTCATTTTTAACACAATTGTAATAAAAATAATCACATGCAGACTCCTTTTTAAAAAAATATGTCCACTGAGTAATTATTCAATATTACTGTATCTGCATTAATGAAACAATAAGATATATTGTGTGCAAGACACCTGTGATTGTTAAATGTTATAAATTTGTTTGCATGGACCGAATTTCATGTGCATTTTTCCCCCCTCTATTCTGCCGTATGATAAAACTGACTAATGTGCTCTTTGTGGTGTGTGTGATCATCAGGGTTTTGAGCAGCAGTGCAGTGCAGCGTGGGGCAGAGCGAGGCAGATCACAGCGGCGTAGCCATGCTAACCTTGGCCAGTAAGCTGAAGAGGGACGATGGAGGAAAGACGGGCCGTGCCTCTGGAGCCTCCGACTCCACCCACAGGGTCTCCATCAGGGACCGCCTCCTTACCAAAGGTATGTGGGTCAATGTTCACTTTGTCTATTTCTTCAGTTGAGCTCAAACTAGGACTGTTTCAGCAAGATTGCAGTTAGTTTCTGCCTCTATAATATAATTACATTCACGAGGCCAGTGGGGCCTCTGATTTTGGAGACTAGTGGCAACATTTAGATAAAACTGAAATAAATGTGATCAAATTTGGTGGCCACTGCCTGCGAATTCCTTTTCCTAATGTTACAGTCACAGTGCATTCGTGCTGACTTTGCGTGTTGCTTCACTGACATGGCCGTCTACACGTCTGTCTTCATTCTGCTTAGAGCTCACTTTTCTATCACCTGTATGTCAAATAAAAGTTCATTGTTGCAGTCGTCACTGTGATGTGTTGTGTTGAATTTAAAATGCAGGTGAAGATATATTTTATTTGACTTCTTTCTGACTTTGCAGCTTAAAGAAACAGAGAGCAGACAAAGCAATGTAGTCTAGTTAAGGTTAGCTGACAGTAGGCACCTAAATATTTGAAGACAGACAGTGTAGGCCAAAATACTTTTTTCCTGACTGTTGTTTTTTTAAATGTGGTTTATCTAAACACTGACCGACGGGAACTTGGAGAGATGTGTATGAATTGTGTATGAATTCTTCATGTTCCTCTTCCTCCATGGATGTTTGGACTTTTCTTTCTACTGCTGTGTCTCTCTTTCTTGCCACATTTATTTTTCTTCATCCATCTGTTTCTCTCTGTTCATGTTTTTGCCTCTGGCTCCCTGACTTTTTATTTATACGTTCCTCTTATTGCCTTGAGATGCAACTTCCACACACCTGACTCCTCTCTCCTCCTTTAAATTTCAAAGAGGTCCTTCTTACTTTTTGGTCATCTATTTCAATTTGTCTCATTCTGCCTGTCACCATTTTCCATACTGTTTTCTTCTTTCTATATTCTTTCTTTGCTGTAGTCTGTGCATTTCCTTGCACATTACCCAATTACTATGACCAGTGAAATCAAGGTAATAGTATTAGAATTATAGTGTTTCATGATTACTTTGATGTTTTATTGTGCAGGAGACAGTCTATTCTCCTAATTTGGGGTTCAGAATGTCATATTGCCTGTTAATTGTGAACAACATTATCAAGTTGGGTAATGTCATATGCAGCGAGTTTATCAGAACATTATATTGTTTATACTCAGAGTAAATTCAGCCGTGGTTTCTCCTCTGCTGGTCCACTAGTTCTGTGTGAATGTGGGTGGACAAAATCTCACAAGCACCTGTCAGTATGCCCGCCAGTACAACGTCTGAGTGACTTTCTTTCCTCTGTCTTGCATTTCTTGTGTGAGTCCTTTTTCCACAAGGCACTGGAATAGATTCACTTGGTCTGTTTGGTTTGGTGCCCACAAGGGTGATAATTACAAAGTCAAGTGAGCTGGCTTGGGAACAGCAATTTATATCGCTCAAAGTGAGGATGACAAGCTTTATTTTTGTTCTCACGCACTAATATTAGAGTTCAGTGCAGTTCATCTTGCTAAAGTAAAAAATAAGAAACCTGCTCATTAATGAGATCTTATTATTTCCCATCTTTACTGCTCTTGCCAAGGGAGTGCGGTTGTTTTATTATCTCGGTCTTTTTCACAAATCAAAGCTTTCCAACCATTAGCTTTCAGGGAACTTAAATGGCCATGTAAATTAGCAAAATGTGAAAATGTAATGCAATGTGTTGAATAAACCAGGTAGCACTTGGACAAAAGGGCAAACCTGCAGCCACAAAGGAGGAATCTATCTTAGTGTTTGGACCATAGCACACAGCTGAGAGCCACCGGAATAAATTGTACATGATCTTTAGGTAGAATTTCTCTAAATGACAATAGGGAGAGATCTGACATTTTGCACATGCTGGTCATGGAGAAGAGTATTTGCTCTGATAAAAGCCAGTTGTTGGGTCTCATTTAGCAAAACTGTAACTCCCTACTCACTCAGGGGGAGCTGTTAATTAGCTGACACTGTGCTCTGACCTCCATGTGGAAGGGGGGGGGGGGGTACTGAGTATAATTGAAGCACCCAACATCTCAAAGAATACATTTATATAAATGCCAATGGAAAGCTCTTACAACGACACTCAGATTAGATTACCTAAATAACCCAGAGAGGCACAGCATCATTTTACACTTTAGACAAGTCTTGATGAAAAGCCTAGTTTGTGCAGTTTGTGCGATTGTACCTTTTTCCCCTTGTCTTCTTTTTTTCCTCTTCTTTTGGACAGATGAGGAGATCAGAGATTTTAAACCAGCTCACACAAACCAAAAGTGAAAAGTGTGTCAGCGACGAGAAAACAAAAAACCTGAAACTTTGCCCAGGGGCAACACCAGCTAAACAACCCTCTACCCTCTCTGGTGGTTTTTAAACTTGCGTGTTAGACATGACGATGCTTTTATCTAGAGTGTGCAGGTAGCATAACAGTGCCTCATTTGAAAAGTGTGTGTCTGTGCTGCTCTGTGTTTGCCATCGTCTCTGCTCCTCTCTTACTCATTGTTCTTATTTTCTCTCAACAGAAGTTGCAGAACTTGAAGCCAATCTCCCTAGTAAGTCTGCCGAGCACCTCTATACACTGCAGAAATGGAGTTAGTTGAGTTAGACTCATTCTCTCTAATTGACTAACTTACGTTTTTATAGTGTCCTGATGTGGGTCATTTTAAACTGTATTGCTGTGCCACAAAGCGATTCGGCCAGAATCCAAATAATTATTTCACACTAAATGTGTCAGATTTTGATTCAACAGTAATGTTTAATAATGTTTTAACTGCAATTGTCTGTACACATCAAGTTATTCATTAAAGACTGGTCAGTTTAAATTATTGACTGATTCAGTTCTAAAGCCATCTCATCAAGGCTACACCTGAACAATATGCAAAAAAAATCACATTGGGATTTTTTTGGCAGATATTGTGATTCCGATATGAGTTATGGTTGCAGTTGGAATGGTTATTTTTGCATTTTATTTCACTGAAAAATTTTTTGAAGGATCATGATGTGATTTTTGCTCTGCCTTATACCAAACCAGCATGTTCCTTAACGTCTGGAGAATATGATTTGTAGGCCAGGGCGTCTCTGTAGCACCACAAAGCTTACTTAAGGTCTGTTGTGACACATTTGACCTAAATCAAAAATACTGCCGCTCCTGCAAATTGGATATTGCACTTGGCCATATTGAGATTTTGATAATATTTCATTGAAGGCCTAACGTTGTTTAGATTTCCTCTTTTAGCCTGATCACTCACCTTGACTACATGAATGTTGCTGAATGCCATGGAAATGAGCCATAGTCTTTAATGAAAACACATGCACTGTGGACCTTGATAGGTTTCATGCTTGTTATATTTCTGACCTGGGACTAATTTGTTCATACAGACTGTACCCTCAACTATTATTTCAGTATAGAGAATCTAAGAGAGGATCTAAACTACAGGTCATCATTAGTCACTTATCTGGTCATTGTTATGCTTGAGTGCAGAATTCATTATCGTTGCTTTGGCTGAACTCTGCGTGCTTGTTTTTGTTTGTGGTCTGATGTGTTTTGCCTTTGCAGCTGAGGACCATGAACGCCAGAGGAAGTGTGCGTAGCACAGAGTGTTGACTAGAAAGTAAGAAAGTGGGCTAGTTTGCACAAAAACATTTATATTTTAGAAAAGACACAGCCTAAAACAAGTAACAATCCAGCAGTGTCAGTCTGCACAATATTGGTAAAATGACTTCAGTCATGTAGGGAAGAGGTTTGACACTGCACTGACAAAGAAACTGTACAGCCAATCCTCAATTACCAACAACAATGAGGAAATATAGCCCTTTGTAAAGATTGATTTAGATTTTCATGAGGCTTCAATGCTGTGAAACATTTGGACTTGCTGTATGACATGATGGATTTTCACTAACATGAAAGAGAGCTCAGGGAAAAGGAGTAAATTACAGTGTGTAAAAAATGATATTGAACTTTTCTTTTAATTTTCTTTAAATATTTTAGCTCTCCTGAGAATTTGGCCACATACCACTATTTGTCAAACCCCACCAAACAGGCAATGTGCACTGTATGGCTATTGGTGTCTTTACAACCCCATTATTAATGCTCGGATATTTCACCATTTTTGCTGTTCGTAGAAAACTTACTACAATTTATTTGTTATGGGAGAAGAAAATGACATACTCAACATATGTTGTCGGAAACTTAGATGTCTGTCAACTCAGGTCCACTATGAGCAAAATGTGAGACTTCTATTTCCAACTTATAAAGCAGAGTCCAAAGAAAAGAAAGAAAGAAAAATGATGGTTCTGCTTCAGACTGTATTGAATGGGTAATGATCAGAAGAGGGGATGAAATGTGCAACAGCAACGACAGATATTATTTATACACAGATTATACACAGATTATCACCCTAAAAGAAAAACAGAACATACTCCAATGATGATACCCACATTATCAGAGTTCAGCTAAGCTATATGTCAGTATAGTGACATTGTGAAGCTACAAAGAATGGATATGAAAATAAGAGGCAAACTGAAGGCAAATTATACTCACAAACAAAGGATGTGTTGAAGGCAGACAGCACTTCAGGGATGTAGATTTGAAGACCAGGTGAAAGTCAGGATTCAGCAGCTAGCGGGTTACACATCAAAGCTAGTGGGTCATTTTATGAAAGGTTTTTTCCTAAGCTACAGGGAGAAGACACACACACACAGACATGGAATATAAAACATTTATACTTCCATTATCATCTTACACTTTAATTATAATTTTATTTGACATGTCTGATGATTGTTAGGGCGTGTGATGCTAAAGACATTTCTGTTGGTCTGATTGTATCTCTGCATTTGCTCATTTAATGTCTCAAACATTTCACTTCACAGTTCTCCCCAATAATTCAGTCCAAGTTGGAATAAATGATCTATGAGCTTGGTTGAGAAAGTTTTAAAAATACAAATTAACTTTCAGATATGATAAGAAGATCATCAATTATTTGTAGAGAGCTGTGTTTTACATGCAGCCCACAGTAGGTTATCTGCTCATTCTGAATAAAAAGCGTTTGTACTGTTGCTTTTGATTCAGTGTTTACTTTACATCCATAACATATTTTACAAGTCTCATAATGTGTCTTCAATTTTTTATGCAGAACGATAAAAAACCAACAAAAAAAAAACTGAAGGGTTGTTGATTGAAAAGAGCTGCTGCGATGTTTTGTTAGATGAACTCTTTGCACATGAATGAGGTCATGAAGTGCTCTCCCCCATGATGTCTTGAGTGCAGTAAATGTCCTTGGACACCAGGGGGGAATGTGGTGCCACAGGGACTCCCACAGGCCTGTTTTATGCAGACATACAGTAACTCCTGAAGTCTGTGCTGACTGTATGAACATAGTGTGACTGAGGACGGATGTAATAGGTACAAAAGCTGGCAATAGATGTAATTATAGACCTTCACACAGCTGCTTTTGGCTTTAACTTTCGACTCTACTAACTAATAATTGTTACCCCCCCCCCCATCTTTTGTTGTTCAGGTACATGCAAAGCCAGTTTCCCAGATGAGGACAAGCTGCATCATTTTCAGCTGGCAGTGTCTCCTGGTAAGAAAATAGGAGGAAACTTCTTTGTCCTTTATTCTGTTCTTACTTCAATAACAGCTGTAACACTGAATGATTACTTTGTCACACGAAATACAGAAAAACTGCTAACAGATAATGTGATTTTGTCTCCCATCCTTGCATTGCTAATATTCTTTACACTTACTGCAGAGGAGTTTTTGGTCTAATGTTGCTCTACAATTAAACCCATCTAAACTAATACATATATATACTGCAACACATTTATTAAGGATTATGTTAAACCCTTATGGAAGCCTAAGAAATGCTGGACACGAACAGTTAGAGATGCCCAAATTGCTGTGATGAGGCAGCTAAAATCATATGTCAGTGTGTATGAGAACCAGCAACAGCCCAAAAACAGAATTTTGAATCCAAAACCAGAAATCAGGACAAAAAGTCTGCATGTGTCAGAAAATGGCCAAAGCAGCCTTTCACTTCATTATACTAATATCATGTCATGTCATAATTTACAAGTGTGAAAAAAGATGTTCACTGAAAACAGCGTGCTCTGCAAAATGATTTTCTTTTAGCCATAGCCTGCAGTGAGCACACGTAACCTAATCCACTGTGTTCTCACTCTGTACCATCTTACTTCCAAACAGTATGTTGGGTTCATGTGTGTGTGTGTGTGTGTGAACATCGTGGAGACCTGCAGGTGTTGGTGTATTGTGTCTATGTTGTGTCCTATAAAGTATTCCCTTTTAAATGGCCCTCCAGTCTTCTCTGTATTTCCACATTTCTGCTGCACTGTCATTATTACCTAAGTCCTCTGTGCTGGCTCAGCAGTGTTCCAAGCTAAGTGGGCTACCTGTCCAATATTGTACAAACCAAACACACCGGTGTCGAATTACCCGAGTCTCTGGAGGCTCTCTTACCTCACACTCCCTGCTCTCTGTCTGTCATACACACACTTTCTCTCTGTCCGCGAGCCCAATGTCACCGTCTCATTTCCCTCATTTGTATAATGTGGCAATTTATCTTCATCTGTTGTTTGAGGATGCACTTCAAGGACAACTTCAGAGAGACTGAGATAAAGTTGAAACACAGCTCTGTGTGTGTGTGTGTGTGTGTGTGTGTTTAATAGAAAGGAAGGGGCAAAGGAACAAACTGGTAATTGGGTGAGGTTGAAACATGTATAGAAAAAATGTAGATGAAACCAGACGTGTTGAGAAAATTGTGCAGAATTGTAGGATAATCAAGTTTCTTAAAGGACAGTACCAGTTTATTACAACTGGGGTATTGTTTATAATATCTGTATTATTATCTGTGTTATCTCCCTGCCACCTGGATTCAGCTTGGCTTTCACAAAGGCCTTTGTCGACAAAATCTGCAGAGAAAAGCAAAGATCAGCAATTAGAGAAACGGTTTGGTGTCATGTTCTTTAAGAGGAGCTTGAGTTCTCAGAGAAAGACTTGCTCAATTATTCAAAAGCTTTGGCTCTCCCCCACTCCCCTCCCTCCCTACACACACTCCCACCCCCTCCTTTTCACTTCTACATCCTCTTCTGTCTTCTGCCATTTCTGTTTCTGTCCCTTGTTTACTTTTTTTTTTTTGTTCTCTTCTTCTCGCCTGCTCGCTCATTGTCCATTCCATTTGAAGTTGGGCAGGTGATGTCTCTTCATCACTTGTCATAGTTTGTGACCAGTACATCTGTTGGTTTAATACAAAGCCATGATACTTAATACTTTACATTATCAAAATGTGTAAGTGTATCGGTAAGCATGTGAACCTTGTGGGAGATCACATACACAGGGGAATTCTGTGAGCATCTTTTATTAAGGGCATCCATTCAATGGATGCGTTTTCTTTCTCCTGCTTTTTCTCAGCCGGTACTGAAAATTTTTTTAAAAACACAAATCAAGAATCTTCATTCCCTGATATCTTTTTCAAAAAAAGTAGTGAAAGTTGTCTCATTTTTCTGTTTTCCTCATACTGTGCTGTCAATTTCCTTTGAGAATTGCAGTGTTTTACGTAGATACTATCTACACAGACACTTCAATTTGCACCGCAGGGAAAGCAATTGTGGTCAGCCAGGAAAATGAAAAATGCAAAGGGAATTCGCCTCAGGAAGCAGGTTGTCCAATATCCCCTACACCCAAACCAGCATGTGGCAAAATCATCTTGACTTGCTGTATTGAGATTTTATAACCTAAGGCCTATGGAAGTGCTTCTTTTCTTTTCTTCTTTTTCCTCATTTCTTTTCTATTGTCTTCTGTTCTTGTTAACTTTAAAGTTAAGGCACTAAGGCACCGCAGGGCCAAGGTGCTTTTCTTAATATTTTAACAAAAGTCTGACTCAAATCGTCTCACTCACACCAGTCAAAACTAAACAGAAGAAAAACCAAATTAAAAACACACACACACACACACACACACACACACACACACACACACACACACACACACACAACAACACACACACAATTTTTTGTCAGATTGTTTGCCCAGATCTACATCACAGCAGGTGGTCTAGAGCAGATTATTTCATGTTGTGTTATTTGTTGTTCAGTTTTTGTACTCTATAGAAAGTACTCCATAGAGTGGAAAGTGGTCTCAGACTTTTGGACTCAGCTGTGTCTACTTAGCAGCATAAAGAAACCCAAAAAAACCTTTTGGCTAAGTCAGTCATCTTTCAAGTTCAAATGTGTTGGGGTTTCTCATTTAGTGTATTTTTCCCATGTAACAGCTCTGTGCTTTGAACCGCAGTGGCCCAACACCTTTGTTCGTCTGAGGAATGGGGACAGCACAGCAGCAACAGTTTGGGGTGAATGCATTCTCACATGTCATTGTTTGTATTAATAGAAATACAGTAATTAAAGAAAATTAATTGAATAACACGCTTTGTGTTTCGGATGTGTAGTTTTTCCGCTTGATTGACATGGATAATTCATGTATTGTGGTGCGCATTGCTGCAGTAAACTGCATACACAGAGGGTATAAACAAAACCCTTTATTTAAGGGGGCCCATGTTTTCGGGCCAGCAAGAGATCATAGTTTGTGTTGAACAAAGTGTATTCATAGGAAAAATAATAGTTTAGGAAGGTTTTTTTTTTTTTTTCGTTCGACACACAGTGACCGCTTGTTGACAAAATAATACCACGCTTTTACAGTTATTTATATCCTCTACCAGCACAAAGACTGTAGAGAGACCTTTTGAAGCAAAAATACATTACAGTTGTCTTTGATATGCCTGTATTAAAGTTCACCTCAGGCCGCATATTTTTATCCCGACCGAGCTTGAGAAAGTAGTAACTGGGTGACAAAGTGTTGCTACAGTGCTCAGCAACCATTGATCCCCAACATACAGTATAGTAAAACACCTGCATATAGCCAGAAGTAAATAATCTTGTCTTACATTTTTGATGAATTTGTGGGTTTCATCTTCCAAACAAACTCAATGACTTTCTCTCTTTTGTCTTTCTTTCATTTCTTCCAAGTGTGTGTGATTCTCTAACAAATGAGAATTTTTACACTCAAAACGTTTGGAGTTTAGTTAGTGTGTGTGTGTTTGTGTGTGTGCGCTAGTGTGTATTTTTTCAAGCCCAGTGTCCTGTGACAGTAAAGACTGATTGTTCCAATGTAGTGAAGACAGCCATGAATTAGTTATGACCTCTGACTGCAGCTGTTAGTCAGTAGATCTCTCTGTCTTCCGCTTTTCTCCCCCTCTTTTGATTTGTGGCTTTTTCTCCTCTTCTCATCTTGTCCCTCCTGTAATCAACCATCCTTTGGTTTTGATGCTGTAGCTGTTTTCGCTTATTCCTCCTCTTTTCTACTTGACACTTTACAAGCCATATTTACAAGCCATATCTCTCTCTCTTTCTCAAACACTGTTTCTCTCCCTCTGTCTCCGCTCATTTATAACACAGGGCAGGGTGTTTGTTCGCTCTAATTAAATTGTACCTGTCTTTGTTACGTTGAATGCAATCTGGTGAAGTTTAGATAGCTCTTATACAAAGGCCTTATCTCACATTTTTCAGTGTTTGAGCACAGAGAGAGAGTCTTACAATCAAGTTAATCCTATATTTGCGTCACAGTCACAGTAAGTCAATGTAATTTGTGTGAATATATTTTGTTTGTGTACATTTTAGTACGCGGTCCACGTCCAGTATGACTGCTGTGACAGTAGGTGCCAATCTGGCTGGAATACTGGCTGCTTAGTCAACAGAGCACATACTCCAGACATGTTCAGTAAGACTGTTACGTGGTCAGTTACCAAGTGCTCGCTTTCCTGAGTTCAGTAAGAAGAGCTCACCTGAGTGAGCTCTAATAAGCGCTACAGGCAGTCGTTTCTCTGTTCTCCAACCTCTCCTCCTCTGATCGCTGAAGACGCTGAAGCCGTTTCGTGCCTGTTCTTTTCTAACCAGGTGGACCCAGACGATCATGGCAGAAATGGGAATGTCATCTAACTAATTAAAGGCCCCCTTCAAGCAGATTCTGTCATGAACAAGCCTTTAATTTGCTTTAAAGGCTGCATGTGGGGAGAAATGGGGAGAAAGAAAGAGAGAGAGAGAGAGAGGGACTGTTAGTGATGTTTGTCACAATCTATAAGGTAGATAGATACAAAAACGGGCCAAAAACTATCACTAAAATCAACTGTGAACATTTAATTTGTGGTGTGGGCATACGAGTGAGCTTGTATGTTGCTTCTGCTTTTGTCTGCTTCCTGTGGATGTAGTGTAATACCGTATGAGTGTGTGTACGTGTTATGTTTGACCTACAGAATGTGGTTACACTGAAAGGTCACACATTATGCCTCTACCCCCTGAGGTAACTTCAGAGATTGAGATTCAATTCACCCAGTTGATCCTCTCATTTACCCTCCTGTTACAGGCTGATTGATCTTGGCTCAGCTGGTCGATGAATGGCTGACTTCTGTGTACATTGAGTTCAGATGCAACCTCCACTAGGGGATGGGCGATATGACTTCAAATCAATATCAGAATTACTTCCAAACTTTTACCCTGATTACAATTAAAGAACGAATACTTTGGAGCTTACTGGTCTCTCCTTTTTTTTTTTAAACTGTGATCTCTTCATATTCGGCAAATGGATTGTATTCCAAGTGATTAAACATGTTGGTGGTGTTACCTACCTCTTTGCATTTGACTTCTTTTTGTTCTGCTTCATCTTCACTGAAGCCAAAATGTGTCCAAACGACAGACGCAGCATTGTTTTTTTTTATAGATATAAGCTGCTTGGGTTGAAGCTCAGGGTTCGCGCTCGTGTCATCCAGCTTCACCTTGAGTGGACGCGGACCGACGCGGAAATGATAATGATGATGACTGATATTTGTCATGAAAATATTCTTGTGTAAACATTACTGAAAACCCTTTGTCCTCTGTCTTTCTTTCTCTGCTTTCCTCCAGATGAGGGTTACTACCAAAGTGGAAGGTTTCAGTTTGAAATAGACGTTCCCGAAGCCTATAACATGGTGGTGAGTTGTCTTTTATGGCTCCATTTGTGTTTCAAAAACTGAAAATGAATTTGTGCATCAGAACTTGTTTTTTCTTTTCCTCTCCCATTAATCATCTTCAATCTAGCTCCACCTCCATCAGCTACAACAGTGACATGCTGCCTCCACCCTGATGCTTCTGTATTAATAGTCTAAACATATACAGTCATTCAGAGAGTGTTCACACCCTTTCAATTTTTGTGGCTGCTAAAATAAAAAAAAATGAATTTTGTCTGTCATCAGCCTACACTCAATATTCCATAACAGCAAAGTGAAAACTGAATATTAGAATTTTTTGCAAGTTTATTAAAAAGTAAAAAAGTAAAATATCACATTCACATAAGTATTCAGACACTTTGCTATCACATTTAGAATTTACACTGCACTTGGGGATGAAAGAGTAAACGCAGCCCTAAAGTTAGTTTTTAAAACACACATTAACCGAGGCTCCAACACTTTCACAGGGGCACCAACCTGGAGATGAGATGTGACGGATCCGTTTTACTAGTTTGCACAGCGGCTAGCAGCTGGTGGCTGAGCTCCAGAGATCCTGTGTGGAGATGGGAGAAAGGTGCTACAGAGGACGACCAATTATAAGTGTTACGTCTGGTCTGGTTACACTTAGAATTGAGGCCAAACAGTTCAATCTGAGCAGAGAATCTTGTGTCTCACAGTCTGAGAGTCCTACAGGTGCTTTTTTGCAAACTTTCTCTCAGGAGAGGCTTCTGTCTTCTGGCCACTCTGCCATACAGCCCAGATCAGAAAGGTACTGCTGTGATGGTTGTCCTTTGGGAAGTTTCTCCCACCTCCACACAGGATCTCTGGAGTTCAGCCAGAGTGAACATTGGGTTTTTGGTCACCTCTCTTACCAAAGTCCTTTGGACTTATGTACTTTTACTTTAGTGGGATTTTTCATGCAGGACTTTTACTGGTAATGTAACAGACAAAACAGCATTTTAATGTAAGCACAAGGGACCTCTGTATTTGATTTTCTATTCCTCCTCCTCTTTTCTCCATTTCTGTCCTTGTGCACCTGAAGGCTTGTACCTTCTCATTACAAAATAATATGATCTAATAATATTTGAAGCGTCCCTCCAGCTGATCCAATTTAGCATTTGCCATCAGTCAGTCAGTGTTACCTCCTGGACCTGGGCAGAGTCATGCACAATTGCCTATCAAATGGTACCCATCATCCCCCACTTTCAGTGCGCAGTGTGCACAATCCAAGCGCAGTGCAGGGCAGATGAAAAATTGTAAGGAGCAGTAGCGTTTATTCCATCACGTTGTCAACTTGTCACTTGACAGTTCAGGGGGCGCAGTATGTTTAATATGATAATTAAAAGGCTGTTTTATTGATAATGTTGTCACTGTAACCATGATTAATAAAATTACGTCAGTGGCATGTCCAGCTCCTGTGGCGCTCCTCTCACACAGCGGATGGTCTTGTGTATCCTCACTCCGGAATGATTTCTATGCCAAGTGAGGATCGAGGAGCAAAGAACAACCAAGTAATGTCTTATGGCAAATTGGTTTCCAGACAAGAAGCATTTTAAAGACCCTTAGAGAGGCTGAAAAAGATTAGCTACTTAGCACAAAATGAGGCAGCTGACATCCTTAAACCAGAGGCAAGTGCTTTGTGTCTTGAGGGGGAACAGCATAAATTAACCAACATGGAGCTGGCTCATCCTTGTATTTCATCGCTTCCTTTGTTACTTACTTGCTCTTTACTTTTCTCCATCGCTGCCACAGCTTCTATGTAAATAACACAACTGAGTACCTTTTACCTCCATGATTGAAGTAATTTTTACAGCAGCCTATGTGGCTGAAGAAAAACAACAGCCACCTCTCTCTTCTCTTTCAAACCATCTCTTTTGCAAAATGCTCAGATTCACAAAAACACACATGGCTGCACAGCTGAATGATAAAAATGTGTCCACGTATTTAACTGGTCATGGCTGAAGAATCTTCAGAAAGTCAAAAACAGAAAATGCTCTATGTAATATATTTTAACCACATTACAACAAAGGAAAATGTAGCTTTTTTCCTTTTTTTGAATGGCCTTGTTGCGTTTTTATATATATATATATATATTTGTCTGCTTATGTGTGAGTCATGTGTTTCAGCTAGTAACATGTTATTTTTCAACAGCAGCAAAAGCATTGAGCAATATGCCTTTACAACTGAAGACTTGTACAGATTCTCTGACTCGTAAATATTTGTTATTGAAAGTTTTTTTGAAATTAATAAAGTAAATGTCTTTCTCTTTCTCCTTTTTTTTTTGCTTTTCTCTCTGTGTTAAACTCCAGCCTCCTAAAGTGAGATGTTTGACTAGAATATGGCATCCTAACATCACAGAGAATGGAGAGATCTGTTTGAGGTAATGCCACTTACCCTTCCTCCATGACATATTTTCACTGATATATTTTCTTATGTCTTATTTTTATTTTGTATCACATTGCTCTTCCTGCTAAGAAATTGATGAGCAAAGCAAATGAAAGCTGCAGCTTTGTAATTAAGGTATTCGTGCATTGCTACACAGCCACAAACTTCTAAATGTAGCCAGTCTCATTCATGAAAATGTTAGTTTTGTGACTGGTTTTATTAACACTGTTGTGGGAGTTAATGACCATTGTATAGAAGCCATGAGCAGCAAGTAAAAAAAAAAAAAAAATCAGGTGATCCAGTGTTTTTTAAGTCTGATCTTCTGTGTTAATGACTAAAGAACAGGTGAAAAAGTTCCAGGACTAAATTTCCTTAACTTTTTTCTATAACATTATTCATGTATTTGTACTGCACTTTATAGTATAGACATGTCTTGTTACTTTCGATGGTATATCTTACACAACAATGCAAATTGTGTTTTAGAAAATCCAATAAATAAATTTGGGAAAAAAAAAAAAAAACTGGGGTAGTGAACATCTTGTGGCTGAAGTAAGATTACAACCAACAAACAAAAATCCTCACAAAAAAAACATTTTTTATCACCTGCTCTTCAGGCATAAGGAGAGAACATTTTTTTACTTCCCCTCAGGGCTTCCGTACCTTTAGGTCTGTGTGATGGGCATAACAACAATGACTTCACAGTACATATCCAGAACCACAGTGCAATAACAAGCTATTACAAATTGTCTTAAATAACATTAAAATATTTTAAATGAATGTGTATTTTTTTTCCCCGCAGCTTATTGCGTGAACACTCTATTGACGGCACAGGCTGGGCCCCCACCAGAACATTAAAGGTATTGCATTTATTTAAGTTACCCTTTTTTTACACTGTGATGTCTTAGGGAGTTTTGGCTGTGCTCATTCTTCTCTGGAACAAGAAAATGATATATATATTATATAGCAATGTTTACTTTCACAGTGCAGGTGAAGCAGTTTTTTTTATGACACCTACAACCATTCTGCAAAAGGAACAGATCTTTGCAACATTTCATATTTCGCAAATACTTGGAAAATAAAAGTAGAAGACACTCTAACATCAAAGCACAATCCTTCACTGTTTTACTAAGTGTTTGTATTATCGTCCAAGTCAAAATACAAAAATAGCATCATGAATGCAAAAAGAAACACAAGCATAAAATTCCCCCAGCACCCACCCCAGTGTAGCAAGTCGGAAAAAAACATGCAACCAAGCAAACACAAAAACACACTCAACACACAAAAAGTACAATGACACAACCAAACTGGAGAGAGAATATCAAATATTGTATGCAAATGTTTTGATACTAGTTTGGGATAATTTAAGGACACACTGATTACTGTGACTTGTGCCAGCTTTAAACTATCACCTGTCTGGTCCGAATAAGATTTTATTTCATATGAGCAAGGTGCGCACCAGTGGAGATGATGTGCTGTCTTATTTTGCTGTGTTATTTGTATCATCACCTGCCTCATATGTTTTTCTAACACACCGCTCCATAGGTCTATATAGGTGAATAGTCTGTGAATAAGCCCCAGCCTCTGTATGGTCTTAAAGCTTTTATATACTGAATTTGCAATGAAGGAAATGTGTGACCCCTAACATTGTCAACATTAGGCTCAAATGAAGAGTTGATAGCTGTTGGATGGATGGATATTGTAAACCATGTTTTTTGTACAATGTGTAATTTAGAACACAGTAGACCTGTGTGTGATGCTCCTTGACATCAGACCTTCTCTGTGTTCATCCACTTTTTCACTACTTTAAACTGACAAAGTGCAGGTGCAGGAAATACGGCTGAGAGCTGTTGAAAACCCTGCGGCGTTCTCTCAGGACACGATGAAAAAAAAACTTTTGTGGAGTTGTGTAAGGTACACTGATGAAAGGATTTTCAGCTGCGTATAAAAGAGAGCCTTGACTACTTATATTTTACCCTTCACTCAGTTGACCACTTTGTGCGAGCTGTTCAGAAACAGTTACTGAAGTTTAAAGCAAGGACATTCTCTGCTATCCCCTTTGAAACTATATGTGGTTGCGTGGTGGAGCTCTGCCTTCCATATTAAATTTTGGCTTGAACATTCATTGGTGCTTGTCTGGAGGGACTGAAGGCGAGATCAACATTTCTCTCAATGACTGCGCTGCAATGCTCTTGTGATTATGAAAATATGCAAACGTATGCCGTTGCCCTTATAAATAGAGGGGCAGGTATTCCTGCCAAGGCTGCTCTTGAAGTTACTGTCACAATTTGTCTTATCTTTAAGACGTCCTTTCCTATTTTAAAGCTTTGATACGTTTGTGTCAATTCAGGCTGCTCTTCTCCTTTTCCCTTATTTCTGGTGTTTTCTGCACATATAAGAAGCCATTTTCTGCTCTTCTTGTACATAATCAAAAACATAGTTCACGTAATAGAAAATTGTCAAGCTAGAGAAATCCTTTTTTTATTCCGATGTCATCATGACAAGTTCAGTGTCTCCATATCACTGAACACATTATATTACGTTCTGCATGGTGTCAATCACGTGATACACCCAGGAGAAATGGAAGAGATAAAAGCTGAAAAACAAATAGTTTGTCAGTGTTGCATTGTGTCTGTGGTTACATCCAATATGTTTCTAACCAGCCAGTTACAGTGGCTGCATTTGCACACACTTGATTGATGCAGCTGAACTCTTTGCCATGTCTTCCATTGTGGTCCCCACTAATCATCTATAACTGCATTTTCAGATGTAATATTAAGCCAATAGAAAGTGATGTGGTTTGTGTGCACACATGAAAAACAGAATTGCCTGGTTGCACCTTTCATTTTAATTATTCAGTAAATGTTAGAAAGAAAATTCTAAATATATTGGTTTCTGTTTTCACTTCAAAATTAATATGTGCAGTGATGAGGTTAACAGGTTGAAAAATAATGTGCTAGTGTAAATCATTATAACTTCCGGCAACAAAGTATTGTAATGTCAGACTGGTTGATTTTACGCAACATTAACACTGCTGTAATAATTAAAACTGTGGATTAGTGGATGAACGCCTGATCACACCAGACTTTAAAAGGGCAAAATTTCACAGTACAATTAATTCATTACAATGGACTTGCCACGATCAGAGGATCTGTTTGAAGAGGCAAATTTAATCAGCGTGAATGTTCCTTATAGCAGTGGTTCTCAAAGTGGGGTCCGGGGACCCCAGGGGTCCGTCAAGGGGTTCCTGGGGATCCCCAGCAAAAAGGAGAATAGTTTCTCTTCACTATAATTCCATCCATAACACAAGGACAGAATGTGTGACTATTTTGGTCACGGGTTTCAAACACTTTCTGTACTGCAACATCTAAAAGCAAAAATCTTTTCAGGCGGTGGTCTAATTTGTGTCAGTTTAGGGGCCCTTGATGTGAAAATTTGAGAACCACTGCCTTATAGAGTTCAACTTTGGTGAACAGTGACATGCAAATTTGCTTCATAGACAAAGAGAGCACAAAATAGAGGAAGCTATAATTTCTTATTAGCTGTGTGTTGCATTCACTTCTATTTAACTCCTCTCTCAGAGTAAAAACAGTGCTTTACAGACAGGAGTCGATTTTATGCACCTTACACAGCCAATGTGGGGGATTAATGCTATCGAATCAGCTGTTCAGTTCTGTAACNTCCCAGGGGTCCGTCAAGGGGTTCCTGGGGGTCCCCAGCAAAAAGGAGAATAGTTTCTCTTCACTTACACACCTTACACAGCCAATGACGGGGATTAATGCTATCGAATCAGCTGTTCAGTTCTGTAACCAAGCTGTGATCATAATCAGTTTTTGTAGTGAGATATGGAGTGGGAAGAAGGGTGGTGTACATCAACAGAGATGCCCACACAACGTTGAATTTCATTTACCTTCTCAAGATTTCCTTCATGGACGACTGTGCTGTACGCCTGAAATAGACCTGACATTTCCTGCTGTACACAGTCTCAAGTAACCAACGTTTTCTTTTCATCACACACTGCTGTCCTTTGCTGGTATTTGCTTTCTCTTTCTTAGATCCACCACTGGAGCCTCTCCGCTACAGCAGCTACCTGAATACAGCATGAAGAAATGAAAATACTCTCGATGTTAATTCAACAGCATTTTAAAATGAAACTTAATTCATGCTGATGAGTCATTGTTTTCGAACAATACAATGCTCTGAAACCCACACAAACACAGTACTTGTGTCTTTTACAATGTACTCCCGTCTCAGTTGTGTAGTTTGTATTCTTGTTGTTTTGAATGCTTCTCTTCCCTGGCCTTGATTCTAAGAAGGCAAAGCGAGGAAAGCAGCTTTGCATACATTGTGAGTGCTTATCTTGGCGTGTGCTTGTGTTCATTATAGCAATAATAACCAGTGAGCACATAGTCAGGCTTAAGAAACACTCTCTCTGGCATTTGTGCAACGCTTCGCTGCACGCATACATGAATTAAAGCCTCTGAATCTGCTCAGTGTAAAAGCCGAGATAGGTGTCAACGTTGCACAGCTAGCTACAGAATTAGGGCTACGTCTATAGCTTCAGTGCTTGTCAAATGTACTGTATAGCTCACTTTGGAACCACAATCATATGTGATTTTGAAGCCATTCAAATGAACAAGTGTCTCAGTTTGACCAGTCAGATTTGTTTTCAAATAGTTTCTGACGTCCTTTGCAGTACATTGTTAGTGGCAGTCGCCAACTGTGACAGCACAAAATTATGGGTACATTTTAACCTCTCTGTCGCTGATTTTCTGCTGCTGCAGCACAGTTCTGTTCCTCGAACAGACGTTATGACGTGAAGCCCGCAGTTAGTTAGTAAGATTACTTAGTCAGCCATCCAGCTGTGAGTCAGTGACAAAATTCTTTTCAAAGTTAATACACAGAGACAAAATTTCAAACTAATGATCCAAAATAATTCAGATATCAGAATTAAACCAACAGTGACTTCCAGTGTTGTTTTGGCTATTTTACTTTTTTTGTGACCACCCATCTGCCTCCCCGGCTTGTGTCTGACAGCTGGTGGATGTTTTTATTTTGTGCTCCGGAGTCGAGCTGAAATGCAGTCTGTCATTGTTTACTGAAATGTAGGTGTGGACGCGGTCATAAGTGTGAGAGTGGTTGGGAGTGTGCTCCTGCGAGTGTCACTGTGAGTGCTCAAAAATATGTGAGAAAAAGTAAGTGCAAAAGCTGTGAGTCAGAGAGGATTGTGTTAGGTATGAGTGGGTGATGCTGTCCCTCTTCACTGGTCACCAGTCTTCTCTACTTCAGCCCACACACACATACACACACACACACACACACACAGAGTCTCACATGAAATACCTTCACAATAATGGCTCAGATGGAAATTTTAGCACAATGTACAGCTGCAAAAAATATAATCATGTAAAAATCACCACTTTGTTGCTCAGAGCTTCTGTTTGTTAGCAGAATCACACAGTGTATTGTGATTCTATGTTTTTTTATGTTTTCCTCACCCTCTGTTGTCTTTTCTTAGAAATATAATCCACACACTGTTTAGTAGCTCCCAGGAAATTGTAACTGCAACATTTAAGTCAGGTAGAACCCATCAGAAATGAACCACTTTTCTTCTCATGTCTTTGCTTTGGCAGAAGAAACAATCTTACTTTACTTTTTTGTGTGCATCAGAGGAATGGATAGGTGAGCCCACAGTATATTGCAAGTATATTAACCAGTTTTGGTGATCAAGTTGAAAATGTACAGAAACATTTATTTTGAAGGCAGAAAACATAAAATGCATCTTTTGAAATACTTTAAAAATGCAATCAATAAATAACACCAAAGTAATTATTTCGCAGCTTTTTATTGGATCACACAAGGCATTTGATTGCTTGTTGCACATGAGGGATGGACAGGAGAGATTTAGTGATACCCTCTCCTTCTCTGTTTCTTTTCTTGTTGCTTTAGAAATAGACCAGAGCCAGTTCTAAATAGTTTCCTTCCCTTTGTTAATATTGCTCATAATAATTAATAAAGTCAGAGCTTGTGATATATTTGTTGTGAATATGACCATTACGGATATTTGTGGGATCATTTTTTCATTCCAACTCACAAACTCTACCTCCTTTACTGTGGAAGGACGGAGCTCTTGCTGCAGTGAGGGGGCACTGTATTTGCATCATATTTAACAACATTAGAAAATAAGTCTAAAAAGTCAAAAATATTATACTGTAGCATTAATATGAAGCCTATTTAATAGCTGGTCCTTGTTTGGTTTTAGTTTAGGAATCAAGAAATATAATGTTTTATTTTTGGGTTTGGTAAACCCACACGTATCATGGTATACTGTTATTTCCTTGTTCTCTTTGATTCTCAGTAAGTGTCAATATGTGGAGGATGGAGAGGAAAGCAGTGATAGTTCTTTGTGGTTAGTTCAGCCTGGATTATTTTCATTTGCAACAGGTCTTCTGCTAGTCGTTTGCTTTTCTAAATATTCAAGATTCAAAGCTGAATCTCATTCTATAAATGGTATAAATATACAGTGGTTTCAGAAAGTATTCAGACTCTTCTCTTTTTGCACACTCTCTTGTGTTGCAGATTTAATTTTATATAAATCTGAACTCAATAAACCAAAATGACAAAGTGAAAACATGTTTTTCGAATTTTTGGTTGATTAATTAAAAATCAACAACTGAAATCTCTCATTTGCTTCAGTATTCAGACCATGTGCTGTGGCACTCGGAATTGTCATCTGATGCATCCTGTTTGCTTTAATTATCTTTGATGATTGCGTCTTGATTGAGGTGCACCTGTGGCTAACACAGTGTATATAAAGTCCCACAATTCATACTGCACGTCAGGACAAAAACCAAGCAATGAAGTCCAGGGAACTCTCTGCAGACCTCTATGATAAAATTGTGGTGATGCGTAGATCAGGGCGAGTGTATAAAACCATTTTCTAAAGCTCTGAGTGCTCCCAGGAGTACAGTGGCCTCAGTTATTGTGAAAAGTATGGAATCAGCAGGACTCTTCCTGGAGTTTGACTATCTGGCTAAACTTAGCATCATGCTGTGGGGGCTTCTCAGCAGCAGGCACAGGGAGACTGGGCAGAATTGAAGGAAGGATGAATGTAGCCAAATACAGAGAGGTCTTTGAAGAAAACCTGCTTCAGAATGACAGTGACCTGAAGCATGCAGCCAAGACAATTTTGGAGTGTCTTCAGGACAAGTCTCTGACTATCCCTCAGTGGTCCAGCCAAAGTCCAGAATTCAACCCCATAGAACATCAGAGACCTAACGATGGCAGTTCACAGATGCTTCCCATCCAATCTGACAAGTTCTGAATTAAAGGTCTGACTACTTTTGTAAACGAGAGACTTCAGTTTAGACTTTTTATAAATTAGCAAAACTATCTAAAAACATGTTTTCACTTTCAGTCATTATGGGTTATTCAGTGTAGATGGTCAAAAACGTTGCAATTGTATCAAACTATAATCAAATCTACAAAACAAAGTGTGCACAAAGTGGTGTGGTCTGAATACTGTCTGTATGTGTGTGGAATGAATGAAAGATAATTGAATGGAAGTCCTGAAAGTATGAACCCGAACTTGTCAGTAAGTGGACCAGCTGACAGTTGTTGGCAGCAGGGCACAGTGAAGTTAAGCTTGCCTTTTTAGTTGGTCCTTTGTGACATCTTTCAGTACTCTTGTTATATTCTGTCGCCATGATGCTGCTGCTGCTGCACTTAATTAGATTTCACTGAACTATTCCTGTAAGCAGATATTGGAGGATAATGAAAGTCATGAGCTTCACTGATAAAAGGTTATTCTGATGCTTCCTTTGTTTTACCATGTACTTGCGTCTTTTGTTGTACTGCTGCACTGTTGCTTTGCGCCATGGGACATGCTGAAGAAATTCAGCAGTTCTTGTGAAGCTGAGGGATCTAGTTACTGCACATAGTGGTTACCATCTTTGAGACAGAGAGTTGAAAACGCTCTCTTTTTCTTTCAGGAAATTATTTGACACTCTAGTGTAATTAAGTAAATATATAGTGCATCTTTGTGCAGTTGAACAAAATGTACATTTTGTTCGACTGCACAAAGATGTGCAGTAACCCAGATGTTTTCATTTTGTCAGAGCCATGCAGCTCTTTCATAGTTGTTATGGTGGTCAAAAGACTAAAATGAATTTAGCCAATTAAACAATAGTTAATTGACATGTGCATCCATTCCTACTGCAGACCAAATTTAAATTAGCTTCTGATGAATTGAGAGTGGAAAATTATGATTGGTGCATTGAGTTAAAGTTATATGCAGTCTTGTCAGAGATATTTGATTATGATTCAGTTTGACTATTTAATCATTAATTCTTCTATATTTGCTTTTTCTAGGACGTGGTCTGGGGATTGAACTCCTTGTTTACTGTAAGTTATGCTTTTTTTGGCTAACTAACATGACTATGTTGTTCAAAATTTAGCAGATTTTAGGAAAATTAAGGGTAAAAAGATGCCAGATGTGATCGATTGATTGATTGATTAATCGACCGAAAATGTCACCTCGGGCTTTAGGAAATTATAACAGGCATTTTCACTATTTTATACACACAAAAAAAATTTTTTAGAGAATGAGTGACACGATAACCAATGATTTAAATGACTGTTATTTGCCCTGGTAAACTTGCATTTATACACATGATTTTCCCTAAAGTCTGTAGTTTAAATAAAGAAACTCTACTGAGAGTGCTCCCTTCATTAACAGACAGTGTTGAACTACATCACAGTTCACCATTGGTTTACCTCATGAGCAAATTAATCTGCACTATTGAATTTCTTTTGCTCTCTGTATGTAGGTTACACACAATAACATTAGTCCAAACACGGATCAGATTAACATTGCCGTTGTGTATCTCTCTTTACAGCTGTAATAAGACCATCATTTTTGTCTTAGGGGAAATTATCTTTCTCATTATGAAGAGCAATTGTAGGGAAATAAAAACAAGAATATTTAATTTAAGGTAGTGTTTGTAGAAAGGTACCGCCAGCTGGACGTCCCCTGAGTTTGACAATAATCCTTTATAAATGCTTCAGAAAATGAAGAAAATTAATAATTAGTCTGATTTAGGGTGATGTTTGTGAAAAATGTACTACTACTTTTAACTACTCAGAAGCATGTTGCAATTAAAGGAGGTTAAAATGGGCTGATCCTGTGAGTATAAATACAAACATGCTTACAAACATCAAATGAATGGAGTAAAAGTTCTGAAAATAGTCAATAAAAATAATAATAAAAGGTTATTTAAACATTTTGGATGTTGAAGCAAGCAGCAAGTACGCAGCTGAAAGTAACCAGGTTATTTAGTTTAATCCAAAACATGCACATTTTGCTTGATACAAACTTGCATGAATCTATCATCGATTACATTACATTAGTATCACATTAGTATCCACACTTACCCTGAGGTCAGCAGTGTCCACAATGATAATGGTGATGATAATCTGCATTGATGCATGGTAATGCCCTAAATCTTACCCCTTAATCAGGAAACAACCTCGCAGGCCATCCTCCTTTTTATCTCTCATAACAGTCTTGTCTCACTTGTTGTTCACGACGTCTCTAAGGCAACAGTGTAATTATGCTGTTTTCTTTGCTGCAGTTCAGAATCCAGGGTGACATTGCAGTCAGTAAATACAGCTGAAGTGGGCAATAAAATGACTGAACTTTTGATATTCTGGCCAACATCCGTCGCTCGTGTTTCTTGACTCATTTCCTGTGCTTCAGCTGTTTTTACCTGTGTCCTCATGTCTCCTCTCTCTTTGCCTCTGCTGCAGGACCTGTTGAACTTTGATGACCCGCTGAACATCGATGCTGCAGAACATCATCTGAGGGACAAGGTGACTCTAACTTCATCTTTCGATTCTGTTTTATCATCAAACATAGTGTAGGTTGGGAGGAAAGAGTGACTTTAGTCATTGACATGCAGATGATTCACTCATGAAGCCTCCCCACAGCATCTCAGATGTTCTTATAGTTTGCATAATAATATTCACACCCCAGCTCCTATTGATAGCCCGCATAGAACATTTATTTGGACAAGATGTGCGGCTGCTGCAGGAACTACAATTTCTGCTGCAGCTTTCAGTGACGCTCCGTCAGTATTACTTGATTCTACTTGTGGAGTCGTGATAATCAGTTGAGAGTGCTTTTATCAAATACAGTCAGCTGAAGACAGAGAGCACAGAGCAGCTTCTCTGAGCGGAGAATGGTTATGATGTTATATTCAAGAGTTGAATGCATGGTACAGGTGTTTTTAGAAAAGGTACTGCGCAGCTGTTTAATTCAGTGCCTCTACAGTGGACAACAGGAGCTACAATTTGTAAGTCAAATCAGAGCCCTAAACCGGGTCTCAACCCTCACGACTCCCTCCCTGCTGATTGTGTACTAGTGATTATGTACAGTCGTGTCCAAAAGTCTGAGACAACAAGTGGCCTCTTATCCTGCATTTGAGTTTGTGTTTTTCTGAACTATAACTTTAGGTATGATTTATCTAGGATTTACTGATGAGGCCCAGGGTCTTACCATCCAGCCTTTCTGGCAAACACTGAGCTGGTGTGGGAGTGGTTGAATGGAAGCCTTCCTCTTACCAAAACAATTGTTGGAGGTGTCTCTAAAAGACAGGCACTCTGGCTAATTGGTTTGAAACTTACTCCCTCCGTCTCTCCCCAATTGCCCTGTTCCATTCATTTCTGCCTTGTGCATCAGCTCCCTCCCATTCAGTTATTTATCAGTACATCAGGCAGTGTCAAAGTTTTCAGAGGCTGATGTTGTTTGCTTACAGTAATTGCTTTCTCAGATTGCCAACCGAACTAATGTAACTCTGAAGGGAGCCTGCTGACCGAGGCAATCAGTGTTAGTTGAGGCGAGCTGGAAGCATTTTAAGTACAATATTTGACCTTTGGCACTTTGCACATACCCTTTCCCATGATGCATCGGTGTGGAACCAGCAATGCGTGATAATGGCTGCCATTAGATGTGAAAGAGTTTTTCTGTCTTTGTGTTTTTGTGAGAGGGAAAGAGAGGGCAACTGTGCAAGAAATGATTGCCAGGTCGTGGCAGAGGTTATGATTGTTGAAATGAGTCATTTGTCCCTGCCTTTCATACGGTAAATACAAAAAAGTCACATTTTTGTGTCTGAAAAAAAATTTAGTAGTGAGCCAAATCCCTTCAGAAAGGTATCTGAGCTCATAAGGAACAGTATGTCTTGGGTAAACAACTGCAATTGAGTTAATTTTGTGTATACATGTTATACATTATATATGTAACACATATACAACAACACGACAACAACAGCAAAACAAGCAGAAAAAAACAAAACAATTAACACGATACAATTAGTTAGAAATTGGTACTGCTCAGGCTTGCTTTTAGCCAGCACTTAACCATTGCTGTAAAAGGTTAAAGTTATTTTCGTGTAATCACAAAGCGTTGACTTTATTTCTACAATGTGATATTTCCTGCATGCACCCATTCATACATTTTTCATAGTTACCATCAGCCCATTAAATGGGTGGAAAAACAAACCAGGAGAGAGCGTTTGTTTTGGTTACCAAGAACCTCATGTGCACCTTCACCTGATGAGACCAGGTCTATCCAGGTCCTATGTTCATGCTCTTTATGCGGACTTTATTTGGACATTCATTGCACATTCATGACCTCAGAGGATCCACCACAAGATGCAAATCACTGGTTAACCTCAAAACCAGAAAGGCCAAGCTGCAGGTCACAGAAACGGATGAAACAAAAATCAACCTTGATCACAATGATCGAAAGAAGAAAGTGTGCAGAAAATAGGCAGCAGCTCGTGACCCAAAGCCACCGCCTCATCTGTCAAACATGGTGGTGGCTCTGTTATGGCTCGGGCATGTTACGCATTTATTGATGATTTCACTGCTGATGGTAGCAACGGGATGAATGCAGAGGTATACAGGAGCATTCTCTGTGTTCAGTTTCAGCCAAATGCATCACAACCCATCGGAAGATCATTTTTCAGGCTGCTGGAGCAGGATGTTAAATAGAGAAGGATTAATCTTAAGTATAAACCCACCAGCTGTGGAGAGAGAGGCAGTTCTGAGTTAACAAAATTTATATTTATATAAATTAAAGATGAATGTTTTTATTTTTGGCGTACTGCATAAAAATATTTTCTGGAAGTTTTGGGTCTGCTTCACTGTGCTGTCGCTGCTCTCTGGAGTCACAACAACTGAAAACACAGTCATCCAACCATGACCCACTCCTACTGAGTCACAGCCTCCTGTAATCAACTTCGGCAGCGAGTGGGTGGAGCTGCGGGAGTTTGTGTGTCAGCACACATGCGTGCTTATGTATACGGATGTGTGTATTTGTGTGTGTTGAGGGTTTTGAAGTAGAACTCCTCCTGTGGCTGCTCGCTGAATGCATTTGCTGGATAAAGTGGCTGAAAGGAAACATCCTCATGGGCAATTAAGTTTGTGTGTGTGTGTGTGTGTGTGTGTGTGTGTGTGTGTGTGTGTGTGTGTGTGTGTGTGTGTGTGTGTTTACAGACACCTGTGTAACAAACAGAGTTTAAGTGTGACACTAAAATAGAATATGCTGATCTGCATGTAAGAGTATAAGATCATGAGCTGTGTTTACCTGTGCATGAATATTTTGTAATACTGAACTCTGAAATATTGTAATTTTAAACTTTAAATGTCATTGACTATTTAAAGAAACCCTGAAACCTCATATTCACTTCAGGAGGAATAGAAGTAGTATAAAGTGCCTGACATTGCAGGTTGAACTTAGGGCTGCAGGACAAATCGATTGTCATTTGAATAATTTGATATCAATCCATAGAGAGATGATAGAGATCAATGGTTTTTATGCTTTTAAGCTGTAACCCTGTTAGTTTCGCGTGACCATCCTCCTTGTGTGTGCATTCAAGTTTTGGTCATGTGAGAAACAACAGCATGGCAGACGCAGTTCCACTGAAGGCAACCCAAGTCTGTAGGCAGATGTGTGGTTCAGATTTAACAACTATGAAAACAGCGAAGAGCTGGACAAAAGCAAAGCCATGTGCAAGAGGAAGCTGATAGAAGAAGCTGTGTTGGTTCACACTGTAGCCGTTGCACTAGGGTATATTAGCAACACACATCACTTAGCTATTAATTCTTGAGATGTGTGTCTAAACTGTTGGTCATGTTAAGTTAATGCACTAATTTAACCACTTTGAGGCCCATTCTTAATGTAAACATTGATATTTTTAGTAATGCACCAGCATAGATGTGCAGTTTACAGTATTAGTTCTCTGACAATCTCATTTATATCCAGGCAAAACTGGTGTTGTACCTGAAATATCTCTCTAACTGAATCAATATTGAACCAGAGACCTTGTGAATCGGAATTGAGTCGATTTGGGAAATCAGTGGCAATACCCAGCCCTAGTTAAAGTCAGAGTGCATCCTCTGACTGATGTCCAGGGATTGTTTCAAAATACCTTCTTTTTCTGTGATAACTCCCTCAGCACTGCTGATGAATACTGAGAGTCCTCAGGAGAGACATTTTATCTCTCAATAGTAAACAGGCCTCTCCATAGCATGAGAAGAATGCCTTTAAGATATTGATATTAATTCATGTTGACGAATCATGTTTTAAGAAGAGCAGCGACACCTGGGTTCCTGATTTTAATCATTTGCAGACCAGGAAGGAAGGAAGGGTGTTTGAAGCATCTTTCTTTGGTTGTGTGTGTTTCCTTTAGAATGAAAACCTCTGCTGTGTCCCATTCAATTCTACAAACTAAAAATAAGCAAGGTTTAAGAGTGTGGTATATTCACACACTGAATGTACCACAAACAGCTGTAAAACATTAAAATGTATAGCGAATTATTGTAAGACAGCTTCATGGTGATATTGGAAAATAAGCATTAATTCTTGTGAAAGGCATTTTTCTTTTAGTTCGTGGTGGTTCGTTCAAAGCAGCAGCCAAGAGTCACATTTTCACTGATGTTTGATGGTACATTTTGCATCTTGCCCATCTACCATAAAAAGGTAAAGTTCGCTGATTTCTTATGTGGTAACGACTACTAACTACTAAAAATATTATAAAAATTAAAACATTGATCTATAATGAAGTTACACAATGAGTTCTGTCAACTGTGTAATGGTGATGTGGCTCCAGCTGAAGTCTTGGTGGAGCGCTTGTCATGGTCAAATCTTTAGTTGCGTTTTTTATTTGTCATACTGTGAAGCTTGGAGCCTGATTGTTTGAACTGGGTGAACCAAAGTGCATGTTACCAGCAGCATGATGATCACCCAGCAGCATGAACACGTGCCATTATTTAAATGTCAAATGTCCATAAAGGGCTGAACTGCCAGAAAGCAGAAGAGCTCAGAGGTGTCCACAACATCACATACACCTCAGTGGTTCTACAGAAAATAAAACACTGGTGCCGGTGTATCTGAGAATCATTGCCATTTACGATAATGTGATATTGACTTCCTGTCCCACTCTGAAAGCGCTTAGACAGAATTGGACCTCAGAGGATTTGTCACTAGCTCCAGAGTACAAGTTTTCCACGGTCCCCCTCTGCATACTAAATCTCCATTTATTGATGCTCATCAATTTGACTCACAGGCTCACTCTCTTGCCTCCTCAGGTATCAAACAGTTTAGCCTCTTCAGTCAATAGGCAGTCATGTCAAATGTACACACACACAAACACACACCATTTACTGCCGCCTTATCTTGCTTCTGTTCACCTCATCAGCTTTCTGCCCATGAACAGAGACCGCTGTGACCCTGTTGGGACTCATTAGAGGACCAAAGGAAGAATTTCACATCAAGGTTGTTTGTGAGTCACACTAAACCTCACTAAACA